AGCTGAAGTCAAGCTTCAGTAAGATTTGTTCTCCAAAGGCATGACTCCATGGACAAGTCTGGGATATTGCCTTTACTAAGCCTTGTATCCCAGAAAGCCATTATCCGAAGCATTTCCTTCAGTTGGCCCTGTGTTTCGGATACCCATTTTTAAGAAATAAAGAAATTGTTTATTCAGCTGAAGTCATACTTCAATTTCTGGGGGGACAAGAGGCACTATCAGTGCAAGTTTATGTTCAGCAGAATTAAAGAAACAGTAAAGCATTCAAAGACAAAGCAGTTGAAGAAAGGGACGTCAAATTAATAATTCATGCTCAGAAATTGAGCTACAAGTTCAAATAAGTTAAAAAACTATATCGGCAGCCGCCCACAAGCGGAAAATAACAGCTGCCGAAATACGTACAGAAGCAAAAAATAAACTGTTTGTACGACAAGGCAAGTTGAAGCAAAAAACAAACAAGGCAAAAATTCAGAAAGCGGCAAGTCTAAAGTTGAGCACATGACGAACCGCAAGATTCTGAAGACGACTGCCCGAGTTCCTATGCTTCAGCCCGAGGATCAGACTGATCAGCATTGTTGGGCCCCATGGTGGTCTCAACCCCAGCAGCAGAAGAAGCAGGCTTTGCACTCTGCCGAGCCTCCCTTTCCCTCTGTTCAGCCTCCAACTCCATTCTCTCAGCTTCTTCTTCGGCTTCCTCAGCCTTAAGGATTTCAGCTTCGATTGGAGTTGCATATTTCATATGAGGGTCTTCGGGATCCTGGACCCATTCAGCACATTTGGACCAGTCCAACTTCGGCTCAGCATGTAGGCAGACTCTTCGGCACACTCTGAACCCGTTTCTGAAACCCATTTCATACTCTTCTTGGGTATAGACACGGACTTTGAGTAGAGCCTCAGCATCAGCCAACTTCTTCTTTATCTCCTCCAAGTCTTCCTTGGATTTCTTAAGCTCATCGGCGAGCTTGGAGGAGGAACCTTTTAGCTCATTCAGCTCCTGCTGAACTTGGGAAGCCTCTATCTGAGCCTGAGCCACTTCTTCCTTTTTGGCCATCAGCTGATCCTCAGTTTCTTGGAGCTTAGCTCTCTAAGCTTCAGCAGCAGCAGCAGCCTCTCAGAGTTGGACATTCCGGGCTTGGAGCATCTCTTCAGCAGCCATTCTACTGGCTTCAAGAGCTTCCAGCTTTTGCTGCACTTCAGCTTGTGCAGCAGCTCCTTCCTGGATTCGGCTCTCAATGGTAGCCTTGAATTTGGAGATGTCCACTCCCATGTGCTCTTGGAGGAATTTTTCCCCTTCCATCAGTGGGGGAAAAACTTCCTTCTCCATAGCGTCGCAGAAGGTCTTAAGGGCTTCAGCAGCTCTTTTTTCATATTCTTCACCCTTCTGCTGCTTCTCTTCAGCTGCTGCTTGCTTCAGCTTAGCAAGCTTTAACTCCTCCTCAGCTACCTTTTTGTCGTGCTCGGCAGCGTCCACCCTATCTTGTAGGTTATCTATCAGCTCTACAGTGAGAGTCTGATTGTGCACGAACTGAAACAGGAGCACAAGTCAACATAAAATAAACAATAATAATAATTGAAACTGAATTGAAGAGCTGAATTGAAAAAGAGATAAAGGCAAGGAGAATCACCTGCATCATCAGCAGTTGGTTAGACCTGGCTGGGTCTGGAACTGATCTGCTGGATTCGCCCATCCCAGCAGTGGCCTTCAGCGACCAGATTCTTGCCCTATCTATTTCGGACATCCCAGCAAAATCGCCGAAGTAGGCTGCAGCACCTTCTCGGTTCTGACCCCATATGAGGTCCCAGATGTGATCTGGGATTGGAATTCGAGGGGCCGAGAAACCCATTTCTCCAGACTGCAGCGTCTGAAAGGAACGGAAGGATGACGATGGAGCTTCTTTTATCTTGGATGGCTCGGCATCCCCCTTCTTCTCAGAAGAGTCAATTATTATGACTTCTTCTTCTTCAGGTGTGAGGACGAAGGCCTCAACCTCTCTTGCAATGTCTGCCGTGAAACCCTCAACACTGGGCATCACGGCATCCTCATTCCTGTGCTCAGCAGCACTCTCTTGAACTTCCTCTTGGACCCCTCCCTTAGGTTCGGGAGTTTTCTGATCCACCTCCATCTCGGGAGGTGGCGGAGGGGTCTTTGGAGGTGATTGAGGTGGTGGCCGGGGAACCCTCGGCGATCCATTGCCTTCCTCGGGTTCCCTTATTTCGACGCCGATGGTCATCGGCCTCCGCTGAAAGTCATGCGGGCCGATGATGGCCATTCTTCGGCGCCTTTTCTGAAGCGGCTGCTCGTCCATGTCTGAGTCTGAAGACTCTTCTTGTATCTGGTCTTCGGGACGAACAAGGGCTTTCCCTTCTCTATGTCTATTACTCTCTTCAGACTGTAAAAGACAGGGGGGAGGAAGAATGTGAGTACAAAAAAAAAAAAAAAAAAACAGAAACAGACAAAACTAAGTCTAAAGGCTCACCGAGGTCTTCAGCAAAGCCTCGTCTTCTTCAGCTGCCCTAGCTGCAGCTTCTTCTTCAGCAGCCCTGGAGGACCCTTCTCCTCCTTCACAAGCTTCGATAACCCGTGCAACCTCTTCGGCCGTATGGGCAGCTTCAGCTTCTTCGTCTAGCAGCTGAAACCAGGGATCTCTCTTCTTCCACCAAGGCTTCTGCCTCTGATACAGAGCAACAGCCTCAATTTGAAAATGGGAAGAGTCTAGATGAACTTCCCTATGCTTCGGTTCAGTGATAGAGGGGGCCCGATCAGTTACAACTCGTTCTCGGTTGACGCCAAGACGAGCGTAGTTAATGCCGACGTTGGTCTCGTCCCGCTCTGAAAAAGAAGAGGGAAAAGGTCAGTTCAGTTAGGTTGGCACAGCATAAAAGAGCGAAGTGAAAGAGGAAAAGAGATAATTAAAAGGCCTCGGCCCCAGCCGAAGAAGCTTACCATCCTTAAACTTTCGGCTGAGGCCGACAGCTGCTAGCATGTTCTCTTGGAAAACATAATGCATATCGGGGAGCCAAGTCTCCGGGATATGCTGCATTCGGCCGCTGCCCCCCCCCCCCGGTTCGGCAGCTTGCCGAAGATGTTCTGTTGATTAAGGTTCGGATCTGGGCCGTTATCTTCGGGGGGACCTAAACTTCCCATGTCGGGATCAAGCTCAGCAAGATACCTGGGAGCGCTGAAGACGCAAGGGTGGCCCGGGTCCGTGGGTGCCCTAACCCAAATCCATTGACCTCTCCAGTCCTTGTCTGAAGAGTCGTTCGACCACATGGTTAGGTACTGGGGCCGAGACTCAATCCGGTACCACCCAGAACCATGACTTCCGTGCCTACTTTGAATATTTGGCACTAGCCGATGGAGCTTTTTGAAGCAGTGCAGGTTCGGCACATACTCGAAGAACTTGCAGACCCATAAGTATGTCATCACCCTTCGGATGCTATTGGGAGTTAGCTGACATACGGAAATATTGTAATGGATCAGCAAGTCTCGGACGAATACGTCCAAAGGGAACCTCAGCCCATACTGAAGTTGTCTTGTGTACACCCCCACATACCCCGGGGGTGGACGATGGATTCTATCGGATGCCACGGGCATTCGGCACCAATACCCATCAGCTTCAAGGATGCCGTAATGCAACTCAATTTGTTCGGCAAACCGATACTGTTCGGCATTCTCCACCCACCATGAGTAGGGGCTGTTCTTTATCATGGCCGAAGCTACTTCGGCATCCTCCCACTCCGAAAACCAGGGAAGGATATCCCAAAGGACAGCGGGAACTTCATCGTCCCGCTCAGAAGCGCTCGGCCCCTCCGTTCTGTGAGGAGGAGCCGAAGAAATGGGAGTCGCCCTAATCCCTTCAGCAGGGTCAGACTCTGCTCTTTGTCCATTCCAGGTCCCAATCCTGTTCCTGGGATCGGGAATTGGCCTTGCTCTTCTTGGAGCACGGGCTCTACCTCTAACTCCTCTCGCCATTGATAAATTTCGAAGAAAAAAGTCGAAAAAAGGGGAAGGAGTTCAAATTCGAAGAAAAATAAACTAAAATCAAAGGAATTTACCTTAATCTGAAGCGAAAGTTGTCGATTTACGAATTGGTAGTGACGAGTCTCAGTTTCTAAGCTTAATGCTCGGGGAATTTGCGAAGTTTTGATGCGGGTTCTTGGGTTCTCTCGAGAATTCTGGGTTTGTGTTGGTGAATAAGTGAGGAGAGATGACGCGCCTCTAACTATATCTCCAGAAATGGGAATACGGGGAGTCCGCGTTTCAATTTCTCTTAAATACCCCACTAAGTAACCGTTAAACACACGACCCTGCGATTAAACCGCCCATTATTCGTCCAACTTCCACAATTATTCGCCTTAACTGTTGTTATCTCATTAATTACGGTTTAAATTCAAATTTTTTGGATTAATTAAATCATTCACCTCCCTCCTTTTCTAATTAAATCAAACCCGACCCGTCATCCTTCCAAATCGGGTCTGGGGGGCAAGTTGTTTGGGTCCAATTTAGTTCAATTGGGCCTAGTCATTAAATGATCCAATTAAAAGCCCAAGGTCAAGGTTCAACTCTCTAAACGTGCTAAAGTCAAAGATCAGTCCTCAAGGCAAGTCAATTGGGCTAAGGCCCATCTTCTCCATATATGCAAAGGTATAAAAGCCATCAATATTACATTTGTACATTCAATTCAACAAAGCCTCAAGCAATTAATTCTCTTGCATAGTGTTCTCTTTCTACACACTGTACTGACTTTAGCATCGGAGGGGCCTTCCTCGGCAACACCCCCGAGGCTAGTTTACGTGTGTTTACTGTGCAGGAAACCTTCGGCCCAACATTACTTGGACCGAATCCAGTCTTCTCCACTTCATCGGACCTTCGACAAGGTCCCATTGTTTTCACCCAAAACAGTTGCTATTGTTACTCCAACTATGTTTATACGTAGTAGATAATCACCGAGCATATTTATATAAGTGACAAAAAAGGTCTTTAATTATTATATATCGATAAAAAGAGTTATTTGACCAAATTCCAACAGTTGGCTTTATTAAGCCATTGAGCATTGACCATCACATTAACGTGTGACTTTAACAATTGGGAGGAGACTCGAATCTAACCACCTAAAATTGATCCCCGTATCCGAATTAGCCTAAAAAGTGAATCGGGTGAAACACCAAAAAAAACACTTTAACGTGACTTTGCCCAGTTGCCCCCCCCCCCCCCTCTTTTGTCTTTGTCTCCATTTTCTCGCGTTTCCCTCCAATTCTGAGCATTAGAAATACAATTCATTTCCTCATTTAAGAAAAATTTTAATCAACAAAAACTACCTCTTTAAGGAAATTTAAACATAAATTAAAGGCAAGGGATAATGGATAAGATTTGAACCCGTAATTTTCTTGCCATGCTGGCTCTTAAGTCTCATATTATAATATATTATCAATTATTTATTTTTAGAGTAAAAATGGTGGGCTAGCCGTTTGGGAACCAGCAGGAGCTCAAAAATGGTTGGAGGTGAGTTTATTGAGTATTTACATTGTTAAATTATTTTTCTATCATTATAAATGAACTTATTGGTATAAATTTATCTGTACAATCTCTAGGTTCTTAACCCAACCGAATTTTTTGAAGACGTTGTCATTGAGTATGAGTGAGTGTTATTACTCGTAATATACATTTTACTCCAATTTCTGTGTTATTATTTAATACAAATATTTTTTGCAAAGGGTAAACAACTAACAAAATTAAACTCTTATTATAGGTATGTAGAATGTACAGCTTCAGCAGTTCAAGCTTTAGTTTTGTTCAAACAGTTATATCCAGGACATAGGAAGAAAGAGATCGACAATTTCATCGTAAATGCGGTCCAGTACATTGAGAGAACCCAATATCCTAGTGGTGGATGGTATGTTATGACTTCTAATTATGTACGAGTACCATTTATGGAGTATGTATTACAAAGTTTAAAATTTTATGACAGTCATTCTTAAAATAACTACAATTATATTCTCCTCAAAAAAAAAAAAAAAAAAAAAAAACCCTACCATTGTATTAACTTTTATTAGCAGCAGTACTATATTATTTTAATGATATATAATATGATCGATTCATTTTTTTTCACGTTATAAAATGGCCACAATTAGTTTTATAATATCTACAACGTAAATATAAATTTTGAAAATTTTAATCGACCATAAAATAAATATTTTTTGAGAAATTATAAAATAAAAAATAAAAATTGCATAAATGAAAATTAAAATTTGATAAATAAAAAAAATAAAAATAAAATACTATTTAATCGCATTAATAAAGTAATATTTCCTCAAAAAAAGTAATATAATTAATTAATTGGAAAAAAATATATCAATTATAAGCTATATAATCATTAAAACATTGTGGTAGTTATATTTCAAACGATTACTATAAAATTTTCAACAATAATTTTATACTATTTATTTTGTATGATAAAATTAATTATAAATTTTTTTTTATTTTTAAAAATTTATTTTTTATTTTTTTGTATCTTAATTATTGATAAATGAATTATTATTTAATTTCAGCAATAATAAAAAGTGAATTTTGAAAATTTATTAAAAAAATTATTTTAAAATTAAAAAATTATTTCATAATTGATATATATATATATATATATATATATTAATAAATTATTTCATAATTGATAAATAAATTTTAAAATTAGATATAATTTTGACATTAAACATGTATCAAACTTAGCTAATAAAAAATTAATATAATGATAGTCATTTAAGGAAAAAAAATCCCTAATAGTTTGTGTATGCCATGCATGCGTTCTTAATTTCTTATAGATAATAGTTATGCGAAGTACTCTATATATGATCAATGTCACAATATGTTTTGTAGGTATGGAAATTGGGGGATTTGCTTCATATATGGAACATGGTTTGCTCTTGGAGGCCTAGCCGCTGCTGGAAAGACGTACTATAATTGTGCTGCTATTAGAAAGGGTGTTGAATTTTTGCTTACAACACAAAAGGAGGATGGAGGTTGGGGTGAGAGTTATGTTTCATGTCCCAAAAAGGTACTTTCTCCATTTTTCTTAAATACATCATTTGATATTTTGCATTATTCAATATTCATATGTTATCTTTGACTTTATATATGAATCTTCACCAAAAAAAAATATTGTTGAATTTGTTACAATATCTACTTTTATATAATATAATTTTTTCTACTAAATAATTTATTATATTGATGTGTGGTTTAAGTTATGCCTCGACAAGTGTGAAAAATCAAGTGATGCATTAATTAAAAAAATAAAAGTGAGTACTTTTTTTTTTCACTTGACCTAATTCATCATGCATGTGAATGTAGAGCTTTAACCATTAATAACTTTATATTCTTTATAAAATAAAATATTTTAAAAAAAGTTATATATTATGATAGTATTTATTAAGACGGATCTAACTAGATTTCATACAAATATATTTTTTCTTACATATAATTTATAAAACACGGTCAAAGGAGAGATATTAATTAAATTGTGTAAAATAAAGTCCAAATGGATCAAGTAATTAAAAGGACGGAGAAAGGGTGTACTCCCACTATTTTTTGTATTTGCATCAGTTTGACCAGCACATTTATTGGAGTACTAATTATATTAGGAAACTAGACATTATGACTAATCTAATGATATACGAAGTACAGAGTACCATTCACCATCTTACTTCAATGTGAGTATCTGTCACAAGCTTAAACTGACAGTTGAGGCTCAGAAATATGATTTGGGCTTGAAATGTGGATGCAACACAGGCCCACACTTTGAAAGAGGGTTGGATGAGATTCGAACCCGTGACCTTTATGTCACATTGGCTTCGATACCATGTTAGAGAACCAGCTCGTCCAAAAATTTAAACTAATGGTTGAGCCCTACTAATTTGTTTTATACTCTATCAATCTTGCATCGAAGGTTTTATTAAAATAAAGTACTACTCTGTACTGTAGTATTTTGTATCTACCTCTAGATTATTTTTTTTTAATTTATTTTTTTGACAACAGTCTAGAATTAATTGCCGCATTGTTAGCTAAAGCTCAAAGTCAATCTAGGATTTATTTTGTACTCCATTATTGCACATACCTCACATTTATTATGTTATTAATTACTAATTGGAAGGACTATGCTATTGCACCTCACAAGTCACAATTCATTTATTTAAAACAACGTGTGCACTTCAAAGTCTCACACGAAATGACGAAACAGCACAGGGAAGAATGGAAGATAGATAAAGTTTGATGTGCTAGCATTGTACAACAATGTCACAGTACAAGGTGTCTCTCTACCTTAGCTTGCTTAATTAGGTTGGCTTACTTGGCTAGGACCATTAAATTGGAATTGGATTTTTATATCACCGGTGGCTCTACATACTAAACTTGTTGATATCTTTATCGATGTCAGGCCAATAAACGCAAAATATTTCATGGTATCAAGTATCAACTTAAGACTATGTTAGTACTACGTATTAAAATAATACTATCTTGTATCATGAATTTATGATAATACCAACGAGGCAACGACATTATTAGAATCGTCTAGAACTTGAGTTATAATACCCAAGGAATTCTCCTCCTTTTAAAGTAGTTTTTTAAGGTAAGGAGAATTTCCTTATGAGTAGGGGGAAATTAGGAATCCCCCTTGGGGTAGAAAACGAACCCCTTTCACAGGGGTAAAAGTCTGAAAGAAGGTCCTCCAACCAATAGGATAACCGTGATTCTCCTTTATGAGTTATATATAAGTACGTAGACTATACTCTATACTTAGCTTGATGGCAAAGTTTGATATTTCCTCTATTTTTTTAAAGTTTTTTTTTTTCGTTCGTTTGTTAATTTAGTCTTTAACTACAATTTTATTTTGGTAAATTACAGGAATTTGTGCCAATAAATAGAAAATCCAATTTGGTTCAAACCGGATGGGCTTTATTGGGTCTACTTCATACTGGACAAGTATTATCGTATGAGTAGTATTTTGTTTGATACACAATGATCTCTTACATGTTTCCATTAAAAAAATAAAATAATAAAATAAAAACTGTCATATGTTTGCTAAAGTGTTACTATTAGTATTATGTGCAAATCAATGACACATCATGTAAAATGCTACTAAATCGTTTTGGATTAATTGCAACACTAAATTTGAAACATAGTGCAGTATAAGAAAAAACTTAGGGTGCAGACAGTATATTTTTACATGGCTATTATTATTATACCATTTATACACCGGATCATGTAGACAGGAATATACCCCCTTAAGCCTACGTTTAACTTACCATTTGCATATTATTAATTTCCTACTTGCATATTTATTAATGGAAAACTTTTGTATACACCCGGTTTTCAGTAATTTACTGTACATCGGGTACACTTTTGTCAGATTTAGTGTCACTTTTGTCAAATTTAGTGTCACTTTTGTCAAATTTATCAATAAAGCATAAATAACTCTTATATATGTCACGGTAACTTTTGTGCGTTTTAGTGTAACTTTTGCACATTTTATTGTCACTTTATAACGGATGTTCAGTAATTTACTGAACATCCGTTTTATTTAAAAGTTTGTGTTTATTAATTTCCCATTTGCATATTCATTAACTTCCCATTGAAGATGTTTAGGTAATACGAAGTAGCATGTTAAATTAATTTATACAATTTCCTAACAAACATCAGGCGGAAAGAGATCCAACTCCTCTACATTGTGCAGCAAAGCTTTTGATCAACTCACAACTTGAAAATGGGGATTTTCCTCAGCAGGTAACATAATTCATCTCCTACTAAAAAAACATTAGTTTCAATTTCGCTCTAATATTAAATATCTTACAAGTTACATACATACAAATATACAATACAAAGTGATTATTGAAACAAATATACTCCGTATAATAATATACTTTGTATGTTACTGTAATTAATTTATTTTTGAGGAAGACCTCCTAGTGCAATGGCCAAATTAAAGGGTCGCCTACTCGCCTCATCTCATCCTTAGGGTGCGAGGTCTGGCCTTATCGGGAACAAACCCCTCTCCTTACCCCAGGCATGTATTGTGGTAGTAGCACGCTTCAATTGGGGCCCATTTAACCTTATTGTATAAAAATATAAAAAATAAATAAATAAATAAATTTATAGTATTATTAATCTTATGTTTAAATAACAGGAAATTACAGGGGCGTTTATGAAGAATTGCATGTTACATTATCCAATGCACAGGAGTATTTACCCAATGTGGGCACTTGCCGAATACAGAAATTGCGTTTTATTGCCTTCTATCAATTGCTAGCAAGCTAGAAAGGTTTAAATAATTTTGGGAAATTCTCTTTGGTAACACTGTACTTTTTTTATTTTCTCAGTCGTACATTGTAATATTTATTATTATCTTCGGTAAACTTTAATTAGCTATAATAATACAATGGTGACCTTCATAAAACAATCAAGTAAATGCTTAATCATGGTTAAACATTTTTTTAAAAGCTGAAATTCATAAAATGCCCTTACTTAATTCACTCAGTCAACTACATAATTAAAAACAAAAAACCCACGTCCTTTCTCCACCAACCTCAACCACCTCCCCCCCCCCCACCAGCCTACCCCCCTCCACATCAGCGCCTAGCCCAACCTTATTGGCGGCGGTCCAGGCTTCTCCTTCGCCGACCAATCCTACCCCCACACCCCAACCTCCAACCCCCACCCCTGATTTCCCCGGCCTCACTCTCGATTTCCCCCACCCAACCTGTAGCCTAGACCTGACAAACGGGTCATTCGGAGCGGGTTTGGGCCGGGTCAATTCAAGTCGGGTCAACAAATGTTCAAGTCGGGTCAACAAATGTTCCAGTCGGGTCGGGTCTATTCGGGTTTCGGATTAAATTTGGGTCTACACTTCAGGTCAAGTTTGGGTCGTATCTGTTCGGGTCGGGTCTGTTCGGGTCAAGTCAATTTTTAGGACCAATTTCTGGTCAATTACAGGTCGGGTCTATTTGGGTCAAGTTTGTGTTGGGTCACCAAAATAAATTCACATAAAAAATATTTGGAAAATAAAGTAAATTCAGGTTTCCCCCACCTCTAGCGTCGCCCCTCCATCCAGCCCTAGTAGCCAATCCTTGTGTCGCAAAAAAGCCACCCCGACTCCCTCCCCCACTCACAAAAACCCCAAACGCCCCTTCCCCACCATGCCGTTAGGGTTTTCGATGGTTTTCGTGAGTGGGGGAGGAAGATTGGTGGTTTTGGTGAGTGGGGGAGGGAGATCGATGTTTTCGTGAGTAAGAATATGTATATATATATACATATAACATATGTATATATATATATGTATATGTATATACATATATATGTATATGTATATGTATATACATATGTATATGTATACATATATGTATATGTATACATATACATATACATATACATATATATGTTAGTGGCGTAGATAAGGTAACAAAAAAAAAGTTATAAGAAAACTCAGTGGATTATTACTACCTCCATTAACATTTATTTGCTGGGGTTTGCGCGGAATCCTATACAAAAGTTTTCAATCATGATTATTGAAAAATAAGGGTATTGATTAAATATTAATCCTACCCAATCAATCAATAAAAGTATTAATTCTATCCGGGGAAAAAAAAAAAGAAAAAAAAACCATAACCACTGAAACCCAGAACCAGCGAAAACCACCAGAACCATCGAAAAGCAATCCCAAACCACCACCAAAAACACCGAAACCCAACCATGAACCCAGCCAAAATCACCACAAACCAAAACCCTACAAACCACCACCACCACCACCACGATCTAAAACCCAAAACCGCCACGAACCAAAACCACCAAGAACCTCCGAAACCCTTCAACTACCACCAAGAAGGCAAGAACCACCGAAACCCTTCGACAAACCACCAAAACCACCAAGAATGACAAACCACCTTGATAACCCAATTACCCACCCATGAACCACACCTCAAATCTGCTAATCCACCCACAAGCCACCAAATCCAAACACAAATCAAGCAAACCACCCACAAATAACCAGATTTGAAACCCACTAGAAGGATGGATTCGATTTGAAGAGAGATGAAGAAGATAAATTGAGAGATGAAGGAGGAGAGAGAAAGATAATGGGAAGATGAATTGAGATTAATCTGATTATTTGGATGGGAAGGGTTAGATAATTAATTTAGGGCTTGTTTGACATCGTTTTTTGTTTTCTATTTTTTTTAAAAAAAAAAACAAAGAACCAAAAACAAGAAAAAGGTGTTTCCACTTTTGTGTTGCCAGATCAGTTTTCAAAATTATCATATATGTAATAAGTTTGACTAATTTTTGATTTATTACTTCCTCCGTTTTTATTTTATTGCACCATTAGGACTTTTACACTATTCACTTAATCTTCTTTGACCATCATTTGTGATTTATCCATTCGGAAAAATATAGTCATGTGGGATCTAGTTAGATTCGTCTCGAAATGTTCTTTTCAAATATCAATTTATTATTATTTTTATAAAAGTATAATTGAAGATATTAATAGCTAAAGAAATGCATTGGCAAGCGTGAAATCTCTCATGGTACAATAAAAAAGAATGGAGGAATTATATGACATATATCATATGATTTTGAAAAACTAAAAACCAAAAAACAGAAAACCACATCGATGCCAACCGAACCCTTAGATTAAGGTTATAATGTTTTGTAATTATGTGTAGTATTATGTGCTAATAATTTCTAAATGAGGGTATTTTAGTCATTTTGATTTAAAAAGTTACTAAAATAGGAAAGAAATAAGTTTGTTGCAAATAATAGTTAATACCCTTTTTTGGTAAATGTTGCAATGTGTAAATGACGGTTAACGGAGGTAGTATTTTATTGAAAAATAAAGTGGCGTGAGAGAGATTTGGACCATTGGAGGAGTGAGAAATGATTAAGTAAAAAAGTGTGGGATCATTAATGGATAAAGATATCTAATATATAATTTGAGAGTCACTTTTAATGTGAAGTCTCCAAAACCCCAATGCTAAACTCTCATGCATTTGAGGTTATTTTTTTATTTTTTTATATTATAATTTAAGAGTCGATTCAATAAGGTTGCAACAAATCCCCAACCCTGCTTTCTCATTCAATCCCGCCAAAACATCTAATCCCTCCAACAATCCCCTAATTTAAAATTTTTTAAAAAAAATTGTCACCCTGAAAAATAGCACGTACTCTATAGCAGTTTGTTCATGTCACTCTCCTATTCTCTCATTCCAAAAAATGGGTATCTGAAAAAAAAAAAAAACTCCAACCATCTCCATTTTATCAAGTATTGGTGCGTCATCAGCAACGGTTCCTTCTTGGCTTCTTTCATATCATCAGTTCATCATCTGATTCATCTCTGCTCCGATTGCAAAACTTTGTCAGAGTATGTCAAAGACCAAGGTCTCCTTCCTTTCTCAATTTTTCATTTTCTTCCCTGAATTTGATACGCATTATTTGATTATTTCGTTAATTTGATTGATTGAGCAAGGCAGGGTAATGTATATCTATTTATAGGAAAGGTAGTTTCCTAGGAGCAATTCAACTTACTATATATATATATATATATATATATATATATGTTCAGTTTAATTAAATTAGCTTTTATGGTTAGAGGAAGTAATTACGGTGTTCTTCTCACATTCATTGCATTCGTGGCCATTATATGGCTCTATGGAAGTCCTTACATAACATCAATATTGTATTACTCGGACTATTCATGTCTAATGTCTATGTGTAATTGGATATAAACACTTCTGACCAAAGAACTATGGAAATATAGCTGAGTCTGATGCAGGTCATGTGTTTATATGGGCTGTCTCCATCTGATGTGGTATTTGAGTTCAAGTAACAAATTTACCGATTTTGGGTTACTTTTGCGGGAATTGAATTGATTACGGTTGCAGATTGCATCAATATGATTGTTATAATACATAAATTAGAATTAATTGATTGATATTTCAAAAAAAAAAAAGAATTAATTAATTGATTGAAGAATTTGGTATAATTAGCTTAATTATTGGTCGCATATGATTTCGCTTGATTATAATACATGAGAACGGTCGGGATTGAGTGAGAATTGGCAAGCGTTGATATATGCAAGTATGATTTGTATTAATTATTAGCTTGATTGGTGTTACAGTGGGAAATCGTTGACAATGAATGATATGTTTGATAGAATTGAGGTAATTTGCATGTTATCTATTTTATTTACCAGGAACCAATTTTGTTGAATTTATTTGAAATTGCTAATTTTTTTTTTAATTACTAATTTTTAATGATAATAGTTGAAGTTGAGGTGATATACTTCCCAATTTTAATTCCTGTATCTGTCAGAAATCGTTATCATGAGAATATAACCTCAATTTGAAAAGAGATAAATTTTTAAAAATAGAATTGGGGTTTTTTTAGCAGATTAAACGGGAGTCTTTTAGGAACAAAATTGGAGCTTAATTATGGAGAAATTTGGGAGGTAAAATAATGGAGAAACAATCGAGTATGATCTGAGACGGGTTAAGCTTTCGACATGTTGGTGAGAAACCTGAGAGTTCCCGCAAAACTATGGAGAAAATTGGGAGTTTTCAACGCAATATAATGGAGACACAGGAGTTTTCATGGGTTGTTGGAGAAACAGAAGAGTTTTCATGGAGGTGGAGAGGCGATATACCTTTGGTGGCAATGAGAAAAGGAAAAGCAAAGATAAATATTGTATTTTGTTTGCTAGATAAATACTGTAATCTAGCCAAAATCGATTAGAATATACAATGCATATTCTAGAGTGCAGTTCCAATATTAAATTCTTAATACTACGTAACAATATTGTCTATCCTCCAATACCCCAACCAAGTGTCTCTCATAAGTGGTCTACTTTAATAATCTATGTAAACGGTGATTCCTAATCATTATCGATTAGACACTAATCATTGTCGATTAGACATTAATCATTATCGATTAGACATTACATAATGTCTATCTTTTGTTACAATATTGTCTGTCCTGATTGAGTGTATTACCCGTCAATCATTTTCTGTAAGTTGTTAAGTGAATAAGGAATGCGCCATCATATTATGTAATCGAATTGGTTATAATTTGTTATGTATATTGAAAGATGTTGATCAAGGTAAAAACATTGACTAAAAAAAGTGAACGTTTCAAGGTTTTTGATAGTTTTGATTATCGGTTTTGGATGATTATATTATTTGATTGTATTTGTTCACTGTATAAATTTTATGAATGTATTTCAAATTAATCTTAATCAGTCATTTAAATACTCTCAATTATATCTTACTAAGTTCTAATTTTATCTCTTTTACTAATCTTATAATAAATTAAAAAAAAAATAAAAAAAAAAAAAAAACAGAATTTTCTCTTTAAAAAAAAAAAAGAAAAGGTTCTTCATATTTTTTTTCTTTTTGTTGCCACCTATTTTTTTTTTTGGCCAAAAAAATACTGAATAATTATTGCATAATATTTCTTCAAAAAAAAATCTAATATTATCGCGGCTAATCAATAGTTTTTACGTTGAAATCAATTTTTACATAAATTGCAATTGTTATCTTTTTCAAAAAAAAAAATCATTTCCTCTTTTTTGCCACTTAAATATTTTTGTAAAAAAAAAAAAAAAAGAGAGAGAGAGAGAGAGAATATATATTGCATTTTTTTTTTGAAAAAAAAAAACCGTTTCCTCTTTTTTGCCACCTTAATTTTTTTGTACAAAATAAATATTACTCCGAACTTTACTAATTTTGTACAAACATACTCTAAAAAATCAAACAATACAGACAATTTTATGAACAACCTTTTTATACAAGTCTATAACAACATTTATTCTTAATTGAGGATTAGCAATAACAATGTTGATCCCTTGACCACGATTCTACTACTACTAAAATGTGCATGTGCTAATGCACGTGTTATAATTAAATATAGGATTAAAAAATTATTGAGTATATATATAGATGCAGATAGTCTTTAATAAAACATAGTAACAACAACTGAAGGTCATATCCGATCTTTTTTTCTTTTTGATGAATGTACACAGATGTTATTGGATTGGTTATATATGTGTCTGAATCATATAGAGTCTCGGGTGGGAGACAACAATTCAAAAGAGACGTGTTACTCTGCAACACAAAGTAAGAGCATATTACAAAAGTTACAATATGTTTATGTAATTATAACAACTTATGTAATGTTAAGTTTTTTTTTCTTTTTTTTTAAAAAAAAAATCTAATGATATATTTTGATTTACAGCATGGAAACAATGAGGCTAACTTTATGGGAAGGGTTTGCTCATGATCAAGGTCGTTTCTTATTCAATGAGCTTAATCAGGATCATGTGTTGGGTGCATCCATGGTATCAGTTGGCTCCTATTATGGTAAAATAAGTTTTTTAATTTTAGATAACCATAGAAAGACCATGGTGTCATTTTCATTATTATTATTGCTTTGAATACTTTTACTAACCTTCCAATAGGTGCATGTCTTTCGACTGTTGGACGTACTAGACTTTTTATTGATCCTGATATTGATGAAACTGATGATCTACATGGCTGGTAAGCCTAACAACATCATATTATACATGTAAGTTTATATTGCATACTTATGTACTTATATAACTCATATAGGTATGCCGATGATGGATATGTCAAAAAACATATCAGCTGGATCGGAGTCAGATATTAGTCAATAGTATCTCTAAAATGGAAATGGTGTTTAATGCAAAAAGGATCAAGTTAAATCAGTTTTCAGCGGCTCATAATGTATGTATATCAACAATTATTGACTTCATTTTCTTATACATGAGGTATTTAATATTTGATGTGTGTTTCAAGGTAAAATACTTTCGAGTAGTAGCAAAGGTGTTATCATTGATTCTTCTATGCCTATTTGGTATGAATCATGTGCTCGACACTTAAGGAGAGTTGATATGTGCGTGGAGTGTGACCCCTCTTTTAGTAGGCCAAGGTATTTTCACTTTTTTTTTTATTTTATTTAAAAAATATAATTATAACCTGCTTTACATATCACTACACCTAATTATATCATATCAATAATAACAGATACAGAATCAATGTAAAAATTGGTGACGCTACAAATACAATAATATCTGTTACACTCTTTGGCCAATATGCTGAGATGATTATATATAGGTTGTCCAATATCAAGTATTCAAGCGATGACAGATAATGTAAGTATATCCTTTAATCATATATATTAAGGAATTACTCACCGGCATAATGGCTACATTTGTTATTTATGATCAGAAATTTGGAGTCTACTTTCTAGAGGAGTATCTGAGTGAACGATTGATGAATATATTCACTTTCATACTACATGTTCATAAGATAGGAAATGATGATATCATAGTTGCATCTGTTTTACAAGTAAGATGGGAGGAAGAATTTTATTATCTTAAACGAGAGATGCGTGGACAATCTAATTGAAGACTTAGATTCATTTAGCATAATATTTCAAGACTTTAATATTTTTTTTATTTTTTTTAATGAATTCAACACTTGGTTTTTTTTTATTTTTTTTAATGAATTCAACACTTGGTTTTTTTTTATTTTTTATTTATTTTGTAATTTGTAATCAATTTGTTTTTTAATTTTTTGGGTTTTTGTTGTTATTATTTTGGTTATTAAATACCATTTGTATCTATATACTTTTTATTTTTTTTAATCCTATCCTTAATTATAACCCGTGCATTAGCACGGGCACATCTAGTTTTTTATAATTGTATAGTCTTTTCACCACAACCCTCCAAATCCCCAATCCTCAAATCTCATGTTTTTTTTAACCACTCAATTTTTTATTTTTTTATTTTTAAAACCGATAACTACCATTCCACTAAAAAAAAAATTCAATAACTATCCGGCCAACTTTTTTTTTTTTTCATTTTTTCAAGGGATTGTAATAACTAATATTAACAATTCATTTTAACACTACTTACATTTCACTTTGTGTTATTTTCTGTAGTGTATAATACGTTTCGTGTATTAGCACGGCTGCACGGATATATAGTTACTTTATCAACAATTCACCGTAGAACTCAAAATACCAACCCTTCAATTCAAACAACTTCCACTTCTCTAATCAACAAAACAAAAATATGTACAACACGTTTTTTGCGTAACTGGCCTCATCGAATAGTTGCTTGCAAAAGAACAAAGTAACCCGTCCTATAGTACAGTTGAAATAACCCATATGACACTAACCGAGTAACCTCTATAGCTTTGACAAAGTAACCCCCGTAATAGCTTGACACATTTGCGTGGCCACGCACATATAAGAGTAAGGTTTTGTTCTTTTGAGTTTATGAGCAGAATAGAGGATATCATATTGCAAAAGAGTAGAGCGGGTGACAATAGAGTGAGCAGGGCTCAAAAGAGTATATCAGATTTTAGCTGAGTAGAGCCAGAGCAGACCATAAATAGTTCAAAATGACAGGTTCTAAGTTACTACATTAGTACATCTAAATCAACTTCCCGTAATTGAAAAGTATTTTTTCTTATATTATATTATAAAAATCTTAATATATATCCCGTGCATTTTGCACAGGTACACTTTAGTATTATTAAATTGTAAAGGTTTCCAAAAGAGGAATTCTAGCTTTAAAAAAGCGGATGAAAATGGAAACTCTAGCTCTAAAAAACTGGAGGAAGTATTATTAATACGATACAAAATATTCCTTCATTGTAAATAATGTGAAACGTAGACAATATAAATTAAAATCAATGGTAATAGTCATGAAAACTAAATGAAATGACATGTCATCAATTCACAACTTAACACCCAGAGTTGGATTATTGTAAACTAAACAAAATAAAGATTTTATATTTGTGGAAATCAAATGATTAATATACTGTCGTGTGAGTAATTGACAACTCAATTCAGATTAGTAGTTACGAGTACTAGAGTACAACTTTAGGATACACGTTTTTTTTTTTTTTACAATAACTTAAGAATACACGTTAAAGCTTAATAAATATCAAATTAAATATTGATAAGATAGGTTTGCACTATGTATTAATAACAAATTTATTTATTATATACCTGTCTTTTTTTTTCTAATTTTTTATTATATAAAATTATGTACCTGTCCATAATATAATGAAGTAGACCCAATACAACTTTGTAAAGTTGTAATACGTCCCGTCAAAAAAAAAAAGTTGGAATACGTAAGTATATGTAATTAAAAGCAGGCCCAACCTTTTGCCGCTCAAAATGGGACATGGACCAAATAAAACCTTGTAAAGTTGTGATATGTAGTATATAAGTAATTAAAAGCAGGCCCGACACTTAATTGGGCCTCAGCTGTAATGAAGAAATGGGGCCTCAAAATAAGAATAAAAAAGGAAATTTTGTCTATAACTGCTCTAAAGATAGGGTCATTTGTGAACAACTATCTATTTTTTTTCTATTTGTTTAGAATTACCCGAAAGTTACAAAACGTTTGGGTTGCACTACCCATTAACGTTTTTCGTCCAATTAAGACGTAATTAGGCTTAATTTTTCACTTTTCCGCTTAATTAACTCCCCTAAATACCCTAATTACCTTCTCTCTCATCCCTAATTAACTTCCCTCAATTCTCACTCAAAAAATCCAAGAGCATATACTCAATCAATTGAACACAAATTCTCAACTATTCATGTTATGTTTCACACCTTTTAATTTATTGTTTGTTGTATTTGTTTACAAGTTTTAATTGAGCGCAATTAACATAATTACAGTGTAAATTAGTGATACGGATTAGGGTTTATGGGTTCAAAAAAATTGGGGGTTTTGATTTTTAAGGTTTAGGGGTTCAATTGAGTTGTAGGTTTCGATTATTTTGACTTTAAGATTGATTTAATTGCATTTTAATAACTAATTGGCAATTGTAATTGGGAGGAAATCTAGTTGGCCATTATAATTGGTAGGATGTCTCACTAGTAGAAAAATACAAAAAGGCAACCCCCAAAAGACACCGGTTCATGCCAAACCGGTGCCAAAAACCTGCCTAAAAATGGGCGGAATTTCAGACCAAGAGCAATGGCACCGGTTCATCTTAAACCGGTGCCAAAAATATAAAGGGCACCGGTTTGAACCGGTGCCACTAAACCGGTTCATCTATATAATTAAAAAAAAAAACCGCCCCATATAAACCCAAATAAAACCCTAACTCTCCCTCACTTCCTCAGCCGCTCCTCCTCTCTTTCTCTCTCCTCCTTCTCTTTCTCTCTCCTCTTTCTATCTTTCTTCTATGTTCGCCTTCTTTCTCCTTCTTGGCCATCAGTTTCCTTCAATCTCATCTCCTTCTCTCTCTCTTTCTCTTTCTCTTTCGTTCTTCCCAGATTATCCTCCCCTTCTCACTCGTTTCCACCACCAAATGCCACCACCGAAGAGGCGAAGACCAACACCCAAGACCACCAAGAACACCGATTCTAGGTACATGCATGTGTTTTTTGGGTTTTTTTCTTTTTTTTCTTTATTTTGAGATTTCTGGGTTTAATTAATCGAGTTTTGGGTTTAATTGGATTTTTCTGGGTTTAATTAATCGATTTAAATCAATTTTTGGATTTTAATTCTATTGATTTGGGTTTCATTAATCGATTTAAATCTATTTTCGGATTTTATTTCGATTTTTCTTGGGTTAATTTTCGATTAAAATAATCGTTTTTTGGGCTAATTAATCGAGTTCTGGGTTAATTTTTTATTTTATTTTCGATTTTTGTTGGTTAATTAATCGAGTTCTGGGTTATGGCTAGCATTTCAATTTTTCTTGGTTAATTTTCGATTAAAATAATCGTTTTTTTGGGTTCATGCATGCGTTTTTGGGGTTGTTTTCTGGGTTTTGTTTTTAGATTTTGAATTTTTTTCGATTTCAAGTTTTTTTTTCTGTGTTTTTTCGATTTCAATTTTTTCTGGGTTTGAATTTTTTTTCAATTTTTGGGATTAAATTCTGGGTTTTTTGTTCAAAGGTTAATTATATTAATGGATTTTTTTAAATTGGTGCAGGTATGTTATTTAGATCTGAAATCGAAGAAGCAAGATACAAGAATGAATGGGGTTTTTGTTTTTGTTTTTTTTATTTATATTGTAATTTTTTTTTGTATTTATATGTTGTAATCGAAGTATTTATATGTTGTAATTTTTTTTTATTATGTATTGCAAATTTTCGATGATATTGATGTTGCAAATTTTCGATGATATTGATGTTGCAAATTTTCGATGATATTGATGTTGTTTTAATCGATATTCGCTTTATGTTATGTTTTGATGTTTTTATGTATTTTAGTCTATTTAATTTTTAAGTGGAAAAAACAAAAAAAAAAAATTATATATTTTTTGGCACTTTTGGCACCGGTTAACCGGTGCCAAAAAATGAATCATAAAATTTTTTGGTACTTTTTGGCACCGGTTAACCGGTGCCAATTTCAAGTTTTGGCACCGGTTTGAACCGGTGTCTTTTTAAACCCCTTTTTGGCACCCCCTATATTGGCATCGGTTTGAACTGGTGCCTTAGGCCGGGTTTGAACCGGTGTCAAATTCGTTTTTTCACGTAGTGTCTAAATTTGAGGGTTTTGATTTCTAGGGTTTAGGGGGAGTTAATTAGGGAGGAGAGAAAATTAATTAGGGGAGTTAATTAAGTGGGAAAAGTGAAAAAGTAGGTCCAATTAATGTTTTTTTTGACAGAAAACGTTAATGGGTAGTGTTACCCAAACGTTTTGTAACTTTTGGGTAGTTCTAAACAAATAGAAAAAAATGGGTAGTTATTCACAAATGACCTTATCTTTAGGGTAGTTCTAGACAAAATTTCCAATAAAAAAATAAGATTGGAAAATATTAAAAAAATTACTCCCTCCATTTTATTTTTAAATTCGTCATAGTGATATTTCACACATGCTGATGTAAAGCTCTAAACAATAATATTTTTAATTATCATCAACTATAAATTATAAGAATTGAATATTAATAATCTACTCATTGAGACAATTTCAACAAGTAGTCACAAGACTAATTTTCTTTTGTATAATTTAAAAACATTGGTTTAAGTATGTTTAATGAGTAGTGCCAAAATCCCAAAAGGGCAAAAAACCGGAAGGAGTAAATGCTTAGTACTTTTATTTTTTTAAAAGACTACTCAGTACTGTAGTGGAGAAGTCCACAGTACATACCTGATATGCGGGTACATACTTTTTAATGGTGTACTAGATATTTAAAGTTTCTAATAAATGACCAAAATACCCCTGTAATGTATGGTGCTCATAGAACACATGTATGTATCCAAAATCCCCCTATAATTAGTACTTAGTACTCCCTCCGTTTTTAAATACTTGCTCCACTTTTCATATGCGGCCGTTTTTAAATACTTTCTCCATTTCCTTTTTTGGAAAGCTCTTACAATATTTAATTAATTTCTCTCACCTAGTGGACCCAACATGTATTATCTCTCCTCCAATTCTCTCCACTACTTTTGACTTTTACATTTTTTAATTCTTCCACCAACCCCACTACCTCCATATTTTAATACTTTCTCTAATTTCTCCTAGAACTCCGCGCATGGAGAAATGAAGCAAGTATTTAAAAACGGAGGGAGTATCAAACTATCAAGTGAACTTGGGGCCTTTAGTTAGTTTCTCTTTCCTCTTTAATGTAGTTTGCTCTTTTCTTTTCCCTTCTCCACTCGACTGTAGAACTGACAATCGATCGGAGGTGGAATAGGTGATGCTTCATCCACTACCTACCTCCATCCACCAACTATCTATATATCACCAAATTTACCTTTATATAAGCACATAGCTCAATATTGTTTGAAATTAACATTACAAGTGGAGTAATTAATTTGCAAATTTAGTTTAGGATTAACCTCAACAATTCACCATGTCAAATGAAAAATTAACAAATATTAATGATATAAAAAGGCAAAATAAACATAGTCTTAAGGGATATACTTGTATAGATTAAAATTTAAAAACAATGATAATAGTCCTATAAACTAAATGACGTGACATGTCATCAATTTGACAATATTTTGTACAAAGGTGTTTTAACGCAATTTTTTTTTTTGACGAATGTTTTAACGCAATTTATGAATATGATGATTGACAATTTGACATGTCATCAATTCACAACCTCCCGTTCAAAAAAAAAAAAAAAAATACACAACCTAAATGTAAGTACTAAGTACAATTATAGGACAACGTTAAGGCTAAACTCAATTCCAGTTTTGGATAAAAAAATTTTGTAAAAAAAAGTACATCTAAATCATACCCTTTATGGCTTTATCCCGCCTTAACTAACAACATGACTTTGTAACTAATGATTGCATAGTAGTCTTCCAATGCAAAGCTTCAACCACAATTTCGGTGTGCAAGTAGTTGACAGCTTCACTAGTTAGCTGTTAGGAGTTCAAGAAATTTAAGTACTTTTGATTTTTTTTTTTTTGTTTTTTTTGTTTTTTTGTAAGGATCTTGTTAATGAACGTTGTTGGAACGTTGGATAACCCTATAAAATAATATAATATTAATTTGGGAATACATGTCAAAATTATGCGTCAATCGGTATAATTAATGTTTATTTCAAATTAATATTTACTTTTAATTATCTTATTCAACACCCCAAAACGTTTGTTATTAGCTTTTGCTTTTTAATGTAAAGGGCCAAATATATTCTCAATCTTAAAAACTTCTAAAGGATTGCTCAATTCATTGGTAAATGAGGGACGCTTTATTTTGATGTTGCTATTAGCTGAACTAATCAAAGCTTTAATGGACCATTAAATCATGTGAAACCTATTGTAAAAGTTAGGGCATGTTCTCTTCATCTTAATTTCAGTTCAATTCAATTCAACTCCAATCAGTTTAGTTCAGTTCAATTCAGCTCCTAATTTCCTTATCTCATAAACAGTTCATTTCAACTCTATTCAGTTCCATTCAGTTCAGCTCCATTCAGTTCAGTAAATCAGAACATGCCCTTACTTGTTTGGTTAACGTAGAAAGTGAAAATTCTCATGAATTTCTAATATATGAGAATTAAGTTCCATAATTAGATTCATGTGAGTTTTTTTAAAGTTATTTATTTAGTAATGATAGACGTAAATTTCCATAGGAATTTAACCAACCGAGGGGGACTAGGTAAATAAATTCTTATATTTCGTGGGAATTAAAAATTCCTAAAAAGTAACCAACTAGTATTTTCCCGTTTTCCCCATTTAACCAAATTTTATTCAACCAAATAGCTTACTCATTTTGCAATATCTAGGAGCTTCTAATTTCCTTGTTTTTTTTAAATGTAAACCAAACAACACCTAGTGAATTAAAATTGAAACCGTTGCTCAATAATAATGTTTAGATGGGTAAAACTGCAAGCTTGTTGCAAATAATAAAAAAAAAAGGTTGAATTTCAATTTGGACATGTTTGTTGATGAATTTTATAGTTAGTTTAGTTTCCTTAAATATATTGTTTGTACCAAATGAATATTCAAAGTTCGTTGTTTTTGGAGTAAATCTTCATAAGTTGTTAAAATTCCCAGTTTGTGAACTTTGTTTGTGTTTAACAATGGATGACATCCATATGAAGATATATGCTCCCTCCGTGTTTTTTTTAAGTGTTACAGTTTGTCCGGTACATAGTTTTAGGCAATTTAATTGACTTAAATAAAATAAGAGGTAAGTGGGGTAGTTGAAGTATTAAAAAATTGTAAAAGAATGATAGTTGGGTTAACAATTTATTGAAAAGTAATGAATATGATATGAAAGATATAATAAAAAAGCAGTGGGTTTGAGTGGGGGCATGAGAGGAGAGAGATATAATATTTTAATGTAACTTTTTGCCAAAAAAAAAGTGTAACACTTAAAAAAACATGGCCGAAAATGGGAAGTGTAACACTTAAAAAAACACTAAGGGCATGGTTGTCCATTCACAATAAATTTTGGCGATTTTGATTTTTTTTTGTTAACGGTATTTAACATCCCCAAAATAATTACTCCGCAAAAGTGATGAAAGGTAGGAAGTAGTCAATTCTCAATTACTCTATAAAGAAGACAAAATACAAAGAATTGTGATATGTGAATGATAGTTTTGATTTGCATTGAAAAACTTTCATAATAATAAATGCTTGCTTGCGTTGTATCAAACACAGTAAAAAAGAAAAAGACAACATTAATTACAAAAAGTCAAGTTAAGGCACGATATAGCCATAAAGGGGATTTTGTTCTGAAACAGAAAAATAAGCCATGGGGATTAGGCCAGGCTAATAAAAATATGTACTTGTAGTAATGAAAGGATATCTTGATTCAAAATGTTTTTTTTTTTTTTTTTTTTTTTTTTTAAAAAAAAAAAGAAGGATAGGGCAAGCCCCTAAAGAAATAAACACACAACTAAAACAAGAAAACGAAAGCTAAAACACTAGCTAACATGATGCCACAACTCACAAGGGCACATCTAACCAATCTTATTAGTAGGCACCATACGAGACAAAGCGACACCCCAAATCCTCCAATTATAGGAAAAAAAGATAATTACCACCGTGTGTATCGCACGGGCCCTAACATGAAAATTTTAAGGTTTAACCGTATGTACCTTGCTTGAAACAGACAAAAAACGCGGAAAGAATATGTAGTGTTTTGTAAAGAACATATATAACTGTTTTATAAAGAACATTCAATTTTATTTTTTTTAAGGAAAAATTGTCAAAAATAATACAAACTTTGAACGGTCCACCAAAAACAAGTCAAACTTTTATTTCTAAATAATACAAACTTTGCAAAGTATCCGCTTTAAACATGTTATTTTACTTGCAACCTAAAAAACCGGTTAATTATTTTTTTCTTTTTAATAAATTGGTTTGACAATGTAATTAACTCTTAATAACAACTTTAATTATGATTAATTAACAATTTAAATATTTTTAAAGTTTTTTAAAAAAATATTTTTAAAATTTTGGGAAAAAGTAAAAAATGCCTCCTCCACCAGCCACATACTACCGGCGCCAGCCTCCCTCCCAAGTCCCACGGCGTCGGCCGCTCTCAGTTCCCGTCGACCCCCTTTCCCTCCCCCGCGCGTCGCAGTACCCCCTTCCCTCTTCCCAGCAACCAACGAACCCCCTTCCCCGACAACCAGCGAATCCCTTTCCCCCAAAACCATTCCTCCTATGCAAAACAACCAAAAACCCATCTCCCACCCTCGAAATTTTTTTAATACTTCAATTGTAAAAGAAAGAAAGTGGTTTTTCGCTGTAGTTTAATATGTTGGGTGAATTTATTTATTTATTTTTTTTGGTTGTAATTAATTGGGAAAAATTAACTTTTTTTTTTTTTGAAGCAATGGCAAAAATTAACTTAAATGGTTGTAAGTTTGTAACCCACAATATGAGTAATGTATTTTTACCGATTATAATAGGCAAAATTTTCTTTTTTAAGTGATACATTAGTTTCTGCGTGGTGTATAAGAGTATTTTTATTAGGTGCTTAAAAAACATTAGAAAATACAATGAAAATGATAGTTTATTCGTGAGAGAAAAATGATACTTTGTACTCTTTTTTTTTTTTTTTTTTTCTTTTAATGCAACTCTGTAGTCTGTACTTCATAGGAAATAATGTACATGCATAGTTTTATTATATTTCTCGTCTCATGGTTTTTTCACTTTACTATCGCACCCCAGGAGAAGTATTGGCGCATAAATCTTATGTATTTTGCAACAAACATGATGGTAAAGTGGTAAATATTAACGTTCATATGTATAAAGTACAATAAATAAGTGAAAAGTACTATTAAAGTCATGTTTTATTTTCTTCACTTTATTTTTATCGAATTGGAATTATTTTAATATCTAAAACTGAAATTATTTTTATTGATCCTCTATAAAATAAATGTTTTCTGTAAAGTTATTGATTTTTATTGAAGTGAAATTATTTTTACTAAACTAAACTGGACTTATTTTAGTAAATTAAATTATTTTTAGTGAGCTAAAGTTATTTCTACTAGAGACTTTCTTATATTATTTTTTTTTTATTTTTTTAAGGCGAAGAGTAGAATAAGGCCTGAATGGTGTAATGTTAATGATATAGATTTTTTTTTAATTAAAACAAATAAATATGTAAGTGAAACGGTACATAAAATATTATAACGTTGTGACATATACTAGTACTAATAAGACAACCTATATTCTAATGGTATAAGATCATTTACTATCAAAAGCAATTTTCGTTCAATGAGTGGCCCCAATTTAAAAAAGTCTCATAATAAATGCCTTTTCCACTATGGGATCTCCCATTTTGAGATCCCGTAATCATTCTTCTTATAATCCCCAGCATCCATTCTCATATCACGCACGGAAGATGCCTTGCTCCCAACAACTTCTTCAAACCAATCAACTTTGACGGTTATGTTTGCAACAACTAAAAGCTCCGGCAAAAATCATCATCAGATATAGCAGCGGAGCACTCATTAAGGAATCTACGTTCAACCTCAATAACGCCAAAGTATTTATAGCAGAAGCTTCAACTCTTCATAAAAGAGTCCAACCAGCTCTTCAAAGTGGCTTTCAGATCATTTAAATTGAAAGTGATAATCTATTAGTCATCAAATCAATAAAAGACATTTAGTCAGTACCTTGGTAGACTGAGCATGTTTATCAAAGACACTCACTCTCAACTCCCCTTTCTCGATTCCTCTATTATTGGATTATATATCCAACACATCTACCGAGAGGCAAATTGCACAACAGATTGGATATCTAATATTCTAATGTAGGTCTTTTAAATTAGTATATAGTATTGTGGTTGTATGGATATTGATGTTTGAAATAACTCAAGTTTGTTTACTATTCTTTCTTCTAAAACCTTTATAGATGTCAAATTAACATGATGATACCCTCCCATACCTGACCTTGATGCATATGTGCCCAGATGCACTCTTGTACACCACTCACACTTCTTTATATTTCTCTTCTCTTAGAGCATACCCAATGGATGACCCAAAATATTTGGTCATGGATTATTATATAATTTATTTCTCTTTCCACTCATCCATGACCAACTCACATGACCAAAGACTCCCAATGGTTGCCCAAAATTACTTTGGTCATGATTTTCTCTCTCCTACTTTTACTATACCCCACCATATAATCTCTCTCTTCTATCCCACCATACAATTAAAATTGTTGTTAAAAACATAATAATTCCTATAATTGTTGCACATAATTAAAATTTAAAATGCTTAATGATAAATATAATTATACAATAATTGTAATCAATGATGTATTATTGAAGCGCAAATGTAAAATACATGGACACTTAATTTAAAAGCTCGTTAAGTAATAATAATAAACGATAGTAAGATAACACATGCATGATTAGAACACATTATTTAGCATTAGCTAAAACATACACTAAGCATAATTACTTAAATAAAATACTCTTAAAGGCTTAATAATACATCATTACTGCCTATTATAAGACTCCCCATATCTAAGCCATAAATGTTCCACTAAATCTGACTTCAAGGCTCTATGGGTAACTTCATCACGAACTCGCCATGTAAGTCTCCAAATTAGCTGGTCGGTTACTATTGTTGCTAAATTGAAATGGTCCTTGAGAGTTTCTTCTACTTGAAGACGGGGGTTCAGCTTGCTCATATTCATTTGGATCATCATACCTTGGATCATAATATCTTGCGTATGTATCTCGCTCATCCTCGACGATCATGTTGTGTAAGATGATGCAAGCTATCATAATTTTTCCAAGCATTGATACATCACGAGCCAGAGCAGGATGCCGCACAATGGAAAAACGAGCTTGTAGTACTCCAAATGCACGTTCGACATCCTTTCGCTGACCTTCTTGCTTTTTGGCGAAAAGACCCTCTTTTTCAATTTAGGGGAGAGATATTGTGGGAATGAATGCCGCCCATGTAGGATATATACCATCAGTGAGATAATATCCCATATTGTATTGGTGGCCATTAACGATATAGTTAACCGAAGGTGCACGACCTTCGAATATATCATTAAATAATGGAGACCTGTCAAGAACATTTATATCATTACATCTACCTGGCGTCCTGAAAAAAGCATGCCAGATCCAAAGGTCTTGTGATGCCACAACTTCTAAAATCATAGTGGGCTTATTAGCTCTCCCGAAAAACATGCCCTTCAATATTAAAGGACAATTCTTCCATCGCCAATGCATACAATCAATGGACCCCATCATCCCTGGAAAGCCTCGACGTTCTCCATCTCGTAGGAGTCTGGCCATATCCTCTTCATCAGGTCTTCTCAGATAGTCGTCACTAAAATAAGAGACAACTCCTTCAACAAAATGTTGTAAGGAGTCTTGCGCAAGAGATGCACTAATCCGTAAGTAGTCGTCAACGAAATCAGCAGCAGTTCCATATGCAAGTAATCTTAAAGCCACGGTGCATTTCTGCAATGCTGATGCTCCAAATCTACCAGTAGCATCTTGCCGTTGTTGAAAGAACTGATGACGTTCTTCTAAAGTATGCACAATACGGAGAAAGACTTGCTTTCTCATGCAAAATCTCCGACGGAACAAGTTTGGAGGGAACACCGGAGGATCAGCAAAATAGTCATTCCATAAACGTTTGTGTCCGTCTTCACGATCCCTTTCGACCAGCGTCCTTGGTGCCCTTGGAACTTGATTAACCATTTGAAAGAATTCAACTGGATTGGTCATTATGAATTCATCCATCATTCGATCAACAAGACGATTTGCTTGCCTCCGTCTCTCATAACGTCGGTTGTAGTCATCATCGAAATTTTGATTTGTGTTGGCAGATGAATTGGAAGAGTTAGAAGATGAGTTGGACGAATTAGAACTCTCAGACATTTTCAAAGCTAAGGAAGCTTCTTTGATGAGAGAGCTAATAGATTATTGGTTGAGTGAAACCAAATTAAAACATATAGCAATATATAGAACAATGTACGAACTTTAATAATAGTGTGTTGTTGTAATGCTATCATTCACCATAAAAAATAATGTACTGAAAAGAAGCTTCAATGTGATTTCATATCAATAGGTTGTGTGGTCATTTTTATGACTTATCAAAATCAATAATTGCTTCACTTTTTCAGAAGAGTAAGTCTTTGGTTTTTCCAGTGAACAATCACATCAAATTATACACCATCATTTATCAGAAAAATACAAATACGTAAGTTCATGTGAGCAATGCACAATTTTTGTTATTGTTACATCACATCAATGTCAGTAATGCCATTAATGCACAACTTTTTAAGAATAGTAAACTATTTAAATATGACAGTCATACATCACATAATAGTACAACTATATTAGAGCTATTTAAAAACAGCATAATGACTACACATTAATTGATAATAAATAACAACTTAAACAACATGATTATAACTTCAAGTACAAAAGCGGTTACTAAACAACAAACTAATCATTCTAGAATATAACACTACTACATTTTGAAGAAATAATTTAATTGGATGGGAATAATATCTTCACTAAATTGTTCCTTCCTTCTTGATCCTCTTCTGATAAGTATGGCTTTGCTTCAAGTAACTTGAACAATTCCAAGTTGATTTTCCTTTGCTTTCGTGCTTCTCTCTCCCTTTCTAGCTGGGCATTTTCAGCTTCTTTCTCTCTCTCGAACCTCAACTTCATCATCTCCATCTCAGTTTCAGATTGCCTTGTTATGTTCATGTTTTGAATAGTAAGCAACCATTGCTGAGAATTTTCCGTCGCCATGTTCATAACTTTGTTCTTACCTTTATTTTTGGTACAATCATCAATAGAGGGGAAGCCTGAACACCCAGCATCACCACTGGTCGGTGTATCTGGGTTTGTTGAAGACGAGTAATTACCAGCTTCATTAATTCAAGATCTCTTTGAAACACTGGACTGGGTTGCTGTCTTCTGCTTACTTGTCTCGACTGGATCTTCATTTTCGCCCATATTTGTTCATTTTTCAGAATATCCCAAGCATGCATATCTTGGAAAACTTTACTGGTATTTTTCCTAGTTTTGTCATCTCTATAAATTCTACGCGCAATCTTAATAACATCGTTGTCAGAGTGACCACTTCCTCTCCTTGATGCAGCATGTGCATACGCACCAGAAAATTTTGAACAATTAGCACTTAGCCTTTTCCACCGACATCTAAGTGGCTCCAAAGCCCTTACACTTAGCAAATCATCCTTCTTAATCTCTTCAGTACCTTGTTCAAATTGCCTCTCTCTAAATAATCTAACATTATTAAACATTGCCTCAACTTTTGCCCAGAATTTATTCCCCTTTTGGTTGGTATTTGTTTTTTTTTTATCTTTACTTACCTCAAGCCAAGCTCTCACAAGGACCTCATCTTCAGCGTGCGACCAAAAATTCCTTCGATCCGTATTGCCTCTACCTCCGCCTCCTACATCCCCACCTTCATTTTCTTCAGCTTCATCATCATTATCGTCATCAGAGTCAGCAGTTGATCTATATGACCAATTAAAGTTTGAATTTGCACCTTCACCTTCTGACATGTTAAAATGTTGCGACATAGGGAAGGATGTTTCATTTTCAGCAAATTGACGATTTTGAAAAGGTGAGTGTCCTTCAGATGGAAGAACATTTTGAGAATATGAGAAGTTAAGAACTTGTTGTGGTCGTAAAGGGAATTGTGATATAGAACTTGGATTTGTGAAATTGATGTTATTCATTCCATAATTTGGAAACTGTGGAAAAATTTGTGAGTTTGGTTCTACTTGAGAGTTGAGATCTATTTGATAATCAGAAAATGAAGGTTGAGTATTTGAATTTTTTTTCGATTTTGAAGGATTTTTTTTCCGATTGGATTTATCCATATTCAATAGTTTTTTGGATTTTGTAGATAAAAAAAAATTAATTTAAAAGGAATGAATTGAGCTAAATGAAGAAAATGAGCGAAATGAAGAAATTGAGCTAAATGAAGGAATTGAGCTTAATGAGAAGTTGTTCAAAATACCTCAATATTGGTCTCTTTTTATAGAGAAAAAAAAATAAAGACGTTGGTAAATTTTTTTTTATTTGTATTTTTTTTATTTATTACCGTTGCAAAAATTTGCAATGATAATAATCTAGCCGTTGTATGCATGTGTGGTGTCATCCAACAATATTGCCGTTGGTGTCATATGTTGCAAGTACATGCAACTTTTCCTTTTTCTTCCTCCAATTATAACATGCCACTTGTCATTTACATTTTCATAAGCACATTTCTAGTTTGGTCATCTTTAAGACCTGGTCATCACTTTTTTCCATCAATTTTTTCTTTGTTTCGTTTTTTTAATATAAAAACTCTACTATCTCTCCTCATGACCAAAGACTTGGTCATCCATTGGCCTCACTCTTATATCCAATATCCATTACTTCATCCGTCCCCGAAAGAACGACCCTTTTGGATTGATTTCGCAGTCTTAGACATATGAGATATCTGTCTAACACGCAGATTTTAAGAAAGTTAAATAAAAAGAAGTAAAAGTATATTGGAAGAATAAATTTATATGGGGTTTGTAAAAAAGTAGAGAGAGAAAGTATTAAAAGTACATGAAAATACAAAATTTTATATGAGAAAGCTAATTTTACGCAAATATTGCTGTAAATTGCTGGGTATTTAAATGCAAATGGGTCGATAATTTTGAGACTAAAATCAGGCCAAAAGACTGTTGGGGACGGAGGGAGTACTAATTAAATAAACTATTCCATCCGTCCCATAATTACAGGCAAATATATCATTTTGGGTATCCTAAAATGTTCGTCTGATTACTAAAAATAACACCCAATCATTACTTACTTTTTACCTTTTCTATACAAAATAAACACATACCTAAAAATCATTAATTACCTTTTTTTTTCATACAAAATACACACATACCTAAAAAATCATTACACGTACTTAATTTTTAACTTTTCCATATAATATTCTCTACTTTTTATTATCCCTATACAAGATTCTTTACTTTTTATCTTTTCAATACAATATTCCTCTACTTTTCCATCCTCTTTAAAACTGTATTTTTTTAGAGTTATTTGCATGTAATTATGGGATAGAGGGAGTACTCCGTACATACTTTGTACTCTATATATATTAACCACAATCTCTCTCTCTCATTATTTTTTTAATTGATTTATAATATGTAATTCCTTAACAAATCAACACAGTATTCTACTACCTCCGTTACATATGATTTGCAACGATACTACCTCCGTTACATATTATTTGCAACGGAGGTAGTAAAATGTTTATCTCAACAACCTAAATTCCGCATGTGTGAAATTGTTGCAATGTTAAAAAATAGAGACGTATAATATATTAATATGTATGCATGACTAATAAGGAACATGAAGAGAGAAAAGTTCAAATAAAGGTACATGGCGCCAAAGGAAAGAGAAATACTACCTCCGTTAATTGTTATCTGCAATTTTGGGGTATTATTTGAGAGATATAAAATATTCCAAAGTTGCAGATAACAATTAACGGGGGTAGAATAATTAAATATATATCATTAAATGTTTTTTTTTTTTTTTTTTTGACAGATCATTAAATGTTTTTAAAAAGAAAAATGCATCACTTTTAAAAGTTGGCCTACCATAGAAAGTGTGAGTAATTTTACTACAAAAGCTAAGTTGCCTAGCTAGCTTTTGCTACAATTCATGTCCAAACTTATAATTTCTCTCCTCTCTTTTGAGATTGAGCTCATACATGTTTGGGATTGAGCTCATACATGTAGTATCATTTTGTTTAGTTACACAATATCTAATCACGTATAAAATGTGGAGGTTGAAGATAGCACAAGGGACAAATGAGCCATACTTGTACAGTACCAACAACTTTATGGGGCGCCAAACTTGGGAGTTTGATCCCAACTATGGCACCCCCGAAGAGAGAGAGGAGGTTGAAAAAATTCGCAGTAACTTCTATGAAAAACGCTTTCAAATTAAGGCTTGTGGTGATCTCATTTGGCGCCATCAGGTTTGATTTTTTACTAATGAACATTATTGCAAAATATTAGGCCACATATATGTATATAACATTAATTGAATAACATTTAATTCCTACGTGAGAAAAACTTCAAGCAAACAATACCTCAAGTGAAGGTGGAGGATGGGGAGGAGATCACACTCGAAGCCGCCTCAACGACGATGAAGAGAGCTGCGCGTTACCTTATAGCTTTGCAAGCTGAGGATGGCCATTGGCCTGCTGATACTGCTTTTCCTCTATTTCACATCCCTCCTTTGGTTAGTTGTACATACGTCTTTCTTTAATAATTTTTGAAAAATTCTAACCTTTAAAAGTTTGATTATTCTTAGAACTCTAATAAAGTTTGTTCGTATTAAACTAAAAGAATTTATTCTTGCATACACGTAAGTATATAATTAACCATGAGAGAATATTTGTTGTGTGTTTTTCATTGATTAAATGTTGATATATATATATATATAAAGTATTCTAGGTTACCCTAGGTTAAAATATGAAGATATACACTAAATAATATACAAATTAAAAAATTATTTACATAATCTTTCAAATTCTTTAACATACTTAACTTTATTTTGCTATAGGTATTTTGCTTATACGTAACAGGACATCTAAATTCTATTATCTCAGCTCAACACCGAACAGAAATTTTTCGTACCATTTACAATCATCAGGTGATCATTCTTGACTTATATTCATGATCAAACTTATACGGCCAAGCGTGCTAGCTAGTCAAAGAGTTAGCTAGAATTGTTATAGAACATTTATTGGAAATGTTGGAACAAGAAAAATATATGCTCATATTATATAACAAGATTATTGTTGTTATGGCAGAATGAAGATGGAGGTTGGGGATTTCATTGTGAAGGACCTAGCACAATGTTTTGTACCGTGCTCAATTACATTTGTTTGCGGATGCTTGGTGTAGGACCTGATGAAGGTGATCACAACGCGTGCCCTAGAGCTCGCAAATGGATCCTTGACCATGGCAGCGCTACACTTATTCCTTCCTGGGGGAAAACTTGGCTCTGTGTAAGTCCTGATGGAAAAATGCGTTTTAGAGACCATAAAATTAGATTTAACAGTATATTATTATATGCTGAAATTCATTATAGAGGCTAAGCCGTGAAGGGAACTCAAGGTTATTAAAATCGGGATTCTACATTGAATTGGAAGGGCCTCTAAAATTAAATCGTAGAAGGTCATTAAAGTCGTAAGATTCTATGGATATGCAATATCAAGATGTCACATCCAAATTTAATTGAAAATATTTAAATTTAAGTTTAAAATCTAATTATTAATATAAAATAGTTGTTTATCCACGTACAAAGGAACCAATAATTGACAATAAATAATGTTGTAGGCATGTTTTGAACTTGTAAGGTGTTCGCTAGTTAAGAGAAATATGTAGAATCGTAAATCAAATCGTATGATATACGTAAATCGTAAGATTCTAAGATTTAAATCGGAATTTTAATGACAATGAGGGAACTTATTTAACTTTAGAATTATAATCCTACTAAATGATCAAGATTAAGAATATTTAATTTCTCTTAGATTTGTGTATTCTTTCAGATACTTGGTCTATATGATTGGTCCGGATGTAACCCAATGCAACCCGAGTTATTTCTTCTTCCAACCTTTCTTCCAATGCATATCGGTCGGTATACATACAGTAATTTTTTATTTTATTTATTTACTGATATTTATTTTTTCTGAAATTAATGAATCGCTTATATAACACTTTCAAATTACACATACTTAAGACTATAATATGATTTAAATGTAGGTAAAAATGTGGTGCTACACTCGAATGGTGCTAATGCCAATGTCATACTTATATGGAAAAAGGTTTGTGGGTCCAATAACACCACTAATTAAGCAACTTAAAAAAGAACTCTACAACGAACCCTTTGACCAAATTAGTTGGAGGAAAGCTCGTCATTCCTGTGCTGCGGTAAGATCCTCCTATATTTTAATTAAAGTATTTATGTGCCCTATTTATTTGCAACAATGTGGCTTACCTACTCTTTAATCAAAGGGGTGATTCATAGCTCGTGTTTATAACGAAGTAAAAAATTTACAATTTGGGTAAGAAAAATATAAGCTTAGAGAAGAACCCTTTCTACTAAACACAAACCTAAATAATATGTCGCGTAAGATCTTGTTTCATTTATTCTTATGCTTTGTTTTAATGCACACATTTAAGTACATTTATCTTTATCACGTGGCATACTCCGTATTAACTAGTATTAATGAATATGCTAGCTTGTAGCCTTGTATGCGATTGATGACAATCAACGATAATAAAGAGCGAAAACAAGTAAACAACAAAGACAAGGAAGATGAGTTATCGTGAGAACTCAGTGTCAGGAGTAAACCCATCAATCCACTATAAAGTAATTTGATGATGATGATTACAAGCTCTCAAACAACCATGAAAGTTCACACCTCTTCTAATTCTCTCTCTTAAACCCTAAGAAGATGAACTAATACAAGTTGCTTTTCTTTCTCTATAATTATCATATCATACCCTAATTAATGATATAACATGAAGTCATGAATATATATATTGTGCAAGGCATATTAAATAATCCTACGCTCATTAAGCATCCATGTCCTTTAATCGCGAATCAGGTAAAACATGGCCAAGTGGATTTGGGCGAACCCACCCTGCTTTGTGCGGGCCCTCATCTTTATTTGTATTTTCAATTTTTAACTTCTTATACATAACCCTCACTTACGAAGTAATATTCTATATTGATTGGATCCAAAAAACTAGTTCAAAATTTTAATACTACCTCCGGTTCAAATTACTCGCAACTTTGGGGTATTATTTAAGAGATATAAAATATTCCAAAGTTGCGAATAATTTTGACCGGAAGTAGTAATACTCGTACAGATTACTTCGTACGGAGTAATATTAGTTATAATTCCAAGGCCAGTAGCTATTCAGTAGTGATATAAAACCTTGATATATAATTAGGAAAAAGATATATGCAGCCCTAAGGGCTGCATATAAGAAGCTAAAAATAGAAAGGAAAAACAATAAATAACCATTTATTACACCAACTCGTGAATTGTCGATAAATTCCCAACTTAATACTAAAAAAGGAAGTATATTAAATACTTATATGCAGCCCTAAGGGCTGCATATAGCATTACCCATATAATTAATATATCCTTTGTTTATTTTTAATTGCATCGTTTTGTATGCTAAAGTATTTACATGCACCCTATATTGACTAACCTTTGGAAATTCATAATTAATATTAACACGTGGGATTTTGTTACATTATTTGTTTAAATTTGTGCTTTAATTTCATAATGAGTAACAACATTTAACTAATGGTCTGAATTTATTCATTGACAAGAATGAAAATAAAATAATTGCAATTATATAAACGTGGAAGTAAAATTAGTTTATTGCGGTACCAATTAGATATTTAATTAAATGATGATCAGTGGCGGAGCTAGGGTGGGTTCATTGAACTCACTGATTTTTTGATAAAAATTAAAAACTTTTTTTTAAAAAAAAAAAAAATCAAAATAGGTTTAAATAGAATATTTGTGTATTATATGACAACAAGTAAAGTTGTAGCCCAGTGGTTATTTTTACCTCCCATCACACAAGAGTTTGTGGGTTCAAAACCCATAACTCACACTTTTTTTTTTAATTTTGTTTCCTGAGCTTTCCCTGCTTCCAGCTTTCCTCTTCCTCATTCCCCCAAATTGCAAAACCCTAACTTCTTCCTCCTTCTCTTAATCTCTTCCCGTTCTTCCTCCTTCAGTCCTTCTCTTCCCGTTCTTCCTCCTTCTCTTCCCGGCGCAACACGGCAGCAGTCAGCAGAACGCCAGAACACGATGGCAGCGGCAGCGCACCAGCCACTCACCCAGCAGGCCAGCAGACCCACCGTCGTCCGTCACAGCACTGACAGCCTCACAGCCGTGTATCGGTGTATGTAGGTAAGTGAATTTGGGGATTTTTTTTTTGCAAATGTAATTTACTTCTCAATTTGGGGATTTTTTTTTGCTAAATCATTGAATACTTGAAATTCATATGCTAAATTGCTAATATACATTACGAATTGCCAATTTTTTGTAAATTGCTGAAGTTTGGTTATAATTATCTAATTTACTTCTCAAGTTCTCAATTTGGGGATTTTTTTTTGTTACATTGTTGAATTTCATATGCTATTTTCTGTATTTCGTTTTCTGCCTTCTAGTTTTCATAATTTCATATGCTATTTCGTTTTCTGCCGTCTAGATTTCGTTTACTAATTGAGTAATTGACTGTAATCTTTAATTACGATAGTTTTAATTTGGGTAGAAATGTTTATAAGTGTCATTGATTTACAACTCCAAGAGCTCAATAGTAGATTTGATGAAGAAAATATGGAGTTACTTATTGTGTGTCATGCTTAAACCCGATCAATTCATTTGCGGCATTTGATATGCAAAAGTTGTTGAGACTTGCTGAGTTATATCCCAAAGAGTTTCCAACTAATGATATGTCGATGACTGCACTTCGTCATGAGCTTCAATTTTATATTAATGATGTGCGCCAAGATGCAAGGTTTGGAGACTTGAAGGGTATTTCATGAGCTTTCTATGATGCTTGTTGAAACAAATAAGCATACTACTTACAACTTAGTTTACTTGCTTATAAGACTAGCATTGATCCTTCCGGTTGCAACTGCAAGCGTGGAACGAGTGTTTTCCTCAATGACATACGTAAAAAATAAGTTGCGAAATAGTATGGGTGATCAACTATTGAATGATAATTTAGTCACTTTTCTTGAAAATAAGTTTATTTTCAAGAGTTAGTGATGATGATGTATTGGAACGCTTCCAAAGTATGAAGACTCGAAGAATGCTTCTGTAGTCTTTTTTCTTTTTTTTCATTTTTCTATGTGTAATCTATTTGTAATCCATAGTTTGAACTTATTTATGTACTGAATATTTAATTATTGTATTTTTATTCCTTTGTTAATTATGATTTCAAATTTCGGAAGTTTCGAACCCACACTTCGAAAATCCTGGTGACGCCACTGATGATGATGACCATACGCAGGAAGATCTCTTTTACCCTCACCAGTTGATTCAAGATTTGATTTGGGACACATTACATTACTTTGTGGAGCCTTTCTTTACTCGGTGGCCCCTAAACCAGTTAGTTCGAAAGAGAGCTTTGGAGGTTACTATGAAGCACATTCATTACGAAGACGAAGACAGTAATTACATAACACTTGCATGTGTGGAAAAGGTAATACTAGTATTTTAAAAAATTTGCTATTGTAGAAGTGTCAATTCAGGTCATCATCAAGACATCAATTGGGTTAGGTTTAAGTTAGGTTTAGTTGGATGCGTGCCTGGGTGGAGTAATTTTGAATTTTAGTACATCTTGTTAAATGGTTGTACTTATCCAGATCATATTATATTCCAGATTGGGATATTTCGTCATTTCTTGTTTGGTAGGTTTGTTTGACTTGTTTTAAAATTAGTCAGTTTTTAAAACCTTTGCTCTAAGCTATATATATATACTTCTTCCATCCGTTTTTTTTTTTCGTTGGTACGTTTCTTTTATCGCATTCGCCTATACACAAGTTAAATGATTAAAATATCTAATTATCAACAAGTAAAATTATTTTTAAAAAAAAAGTTGATGTTAATAATATACTCTGTATATTGAGCCAGGTGGAATAATTCATTTAACCTAGGTTGGTAGATTTGAACAAGATCACGTATAACAATGTTTCATCATAGTTATAAATCACAAATGTTAGGCAAAGAAAAATTTATGAATAATTTCTTAAGATAAAGCGTGTCAACTAAAAAAGAACGAGTATTGTTTTTCAATTTCTTCGGTCTATAGAAACACTCTTAGATTTTCAAAAAGTGACATTAACAGGATTCATCATCAATTGCTCCGTATTTGTTCTTGATTTATAGTCAAACATGTCTAGCTTGGAATGAGATATAGCACGCACAAGCCACGTGCCTACGTACCCATAAGGCGAAATTTTTTGAAAATTCTTTTACTTAAAGGCAAAAGCTAATGAGCGCTCTCGGGACGTTAGATAAGAGAATTGAAGTGTAAATATTAGAGTAAAATTAACATTAATTACACTGAACGACCCGTAATTTTGCCATAAATTCCTAACTTAATACAATTTTAACCAATACAATTTATCCTTATCTAACGCCCCGGGACGGTCGTTAGCAAGATCCATACTTAAATTGCATGTACGGAGTATTTTGTACTACTTTTTCTGTCCCATAATTTCGTGCCGGTATTTTTTTAGGTGTCCCAAGATGTTGTGTCCATTTCTAAAAATTGCGCATAATTATAACTCCATTTACTTTTTATCTTTCCTATACAAAATATACGTATACCAAAAAAATATTACTTATTTTTTATATTTTTCATACAATATTCTCTATTTATCTTTCCAATAGAAATATTCCTCTATTTCCACCATTTTTCTTAATTACCATATTTCTTGAGAAATAGGCAATAAATAATGGAACGAAGGAAGTACTCCGTACCTAAGAGTGATTTTTGTACAGGTGCTATGTATGTTGGCATGTTGGGTGGAAAATCCCGAAGGAGATGATTTCAAGAAACATCTTGCTAGAATTTCGGATTATATATGGATATCCGAGGATGGATTAAAAGTGCAGGGTATTGGGAGCCAACAATGGGATTGTGGACTATCTGTCCAAGCATTGTTAGCTTCAAATCTGGGCCTTGATGAAATTGGACCTGCTTTAAACAAAGCTCACTTCTACATCAAAGAGTCACAGGTACGGTGTTACACATTTTCTTAAACGTGACTAATGATAGTTTTTCTTCACCTTATTCTTACATATTTATCTAATTACCTTATTTATATTCACATGATGCGTACGTTCAGTTCAATTTAGTTCAGCCCCAATCAATTTCGTTCAATTCAGTTATTTTCAATAAATCGGAACAAGCTCTTAGTCTCTAACGTATATTTTAATGCATGGTGTAAATTATCAAACCAAAATAGTGCTTTATTTATTAATTTATGAAAAATTAGTGGTCAACATAAATATAACACGAGTATGTTGGAAAGTAAAAAATAAAAACAATGTATCTATTGTGATTTGTGAAACATATTGTAATTTGTGATTTATATGTTGGGCCTTGTTAGATTCAATTTGATTAAGTTTATCAATATGATTAACAAAATTTGTTTATCAAATGGAAAAATTGTAAATAAATCAACAACTTTTTATTAAATATGGGTCCCACTGTTATTGATATATTTACAAAAATGTCTGGTTGACTGGGTAATTATGTTGTTTTATTTACCATTTTGCCATTTGATAAATAAATTTTGTTTATCAAATTGATTAAGTGGGGCTTCCTCGATCATAATATCAACTTTTATACTTCCTCCGTTCTATTAATATTGCAACAAGGAGGAAATTACGTATCCCAAAGCACATTTTATATGCTAAATATCTATAATTGTGTAAGAGTAAAAAATATAAAAAATTGATATTGTGAAAGTATTTTATGAGACGAATCCAATAAGATCCTACATGACTATATTTTACTTAATGTATAAATCTATATTATAAATTCAAACAAGAGTGATGAGTAGTGCAAAAAGTCCATTATTGCAATATTAATAGAACAGAGAAAGTATATTTTACTAAAATAAAATTATACTCCGTAATATAAATATTAATGGTACAATATCTGCATTGACAAGCGTGGAAATCAAATTATTATAATAATTTATTTTATTTTTTTTAAAAAAGGGGTATGTGCTCTATACTGAACAATCTTAAATTGTAGATAAAGAAAAATCCATCTGGAGACTTCAAAAGTATGTATCGTCACATCTCGAAGGGAGCTTGGGGATTCTCTGCTCCAGATCATGGTTGGCAAGTTTCTGATTGCACTGCTGAAGCTCTTAAGGTAGTCCTTTATCTTTTCATTAATGCAATTGTACCTTTTTAATTTGTTAATTATATAGTTTCCTCTAATTTTCTACTTGTATTTGTTATATCAAGTGTTGCTTAATCTTATCAACGATGCCCCCTGAAATTGTTGGAGAAAAGATGGACACTAAGCATATTTTTGATTCCGTCAATTTCTTGCTTTCTTTACAGGTACGCTATATGTAGTGTTCACATGCATGTACTCTTTTCGTGTTTGAACAAGTGTTTAATAAGTGTTACACATACTAAATGTGACCGTGTTTTAATAAGTGTTACACTATTTTTTTTAGCAAAAAAAACTACATTTTAATATTATATTTCTCTCATTTCATGGTTCCCACATAAATTCGTTACTAATTTTTTTTTTAATTTTATTATTATTATTTATTTTCTCTCACATTCATTACTTTTCAATAAATCATTAATCCTACTATCTGAAGGTGTTACTTACACAAATACACTTTATACATGAACACGGAAATACTCATACTAGTATAATACTACATATTTAACAATATTCTTAATTACCACTCCTTGATTTTATTATTGCAGAGTAAAAATGGAGGGCTTACTGCCTGGGAGCCAGCAAGAGGTTACAAATGGTTAGAAGTGAGTAAATAATTTCCATATTGTTAACAAAATTATATTAGATAGGTTAGAATTATCTTGAAAACAAAATGATTATTATTTTATACGGAGTATAAGATAAAACGACTACTACAAATGATATTTTAGACGATTGGAGTATGTTTTTAACGCAATCTCTAAATATGAACTTATGTTCTTTTGTACCATTTCAGGTTATTAACTCAACAGATTTCTTTGCCAATGTTATCGTTGAGCACGAGTGAGTGTTCAAATTTAAGTGTAAATTAACGTTAGGAAATTCAACATTTGTTATTATTTTTTTGAATGGCTAGCAATATGTACATATATAAGAAGATTGTCCCGTGATGCACATTATATATTTTAGGTACGTAGAGTGTACGAGTTCGGTAATACAAGCTCTAGTATTGTTCAAGAAGTTATATCCAAGCCATAGGAAGAAAGAGATTGAAACTCTAATCACAAAAGCTGTTGAATACCTTGAGAACTCTCAATTTTCTGATGGATCTTGGTATGTAGCTACATTTATATTATTATGTGTATTACATAAAATTGATTAATGTAGTCAATTATAATTTGAATGTTGACAAGGCAAAAATAAAAGGGTTGTGTATACCTCCTAGTTCCTACCAAGATAAAATGCACCCTTACTAAATCTAAACCAAATTACCTATATTTAGATAACGAAATTATTATTTATATAAGATATAACATTACATTGATCGATATAATACTGGGTGTAGGTACGGAAATTGGGGAATTTGCTTCACGTATGGGACATTTTTTGCTCTTAAAGGGCTAGCCGTGACAGGAAAGACATACGATAATTGTGCAGCCATTAGAAAGGGTGTTGAATTTCTTCTCGCAACACAAATGGAGGATGGTGGCTGGGGTGAGAGCTACCTTTCATGTCACAAGGAGGTAATTTAGTTCATAACTTCTTGTTATGAGAAACAAAAACTTATCATGAATTATTAACAAGAGAAAACATTACATGTTTTAGTGAGATTATTTATCCTAACTTTCTTTTTCTTTAAATTCAGTATTTTTCTAAATTTTAGTCCTTTAGCATTTTGCATACTTGTTGAAGTATAATATTTATACAATTATACTTATGTATGTATTGCTCTCATGGATATAACAAAAGAAACTTGTGCCACTTCCAAAATCCAATTTGGTCCAAACTGCGTGGGCTTTGATGGGTCTACTCCATGGTGGGCAGGTACATTCTAACTTATAGAATTATAATTCCTTTGCTTTTTTGAAGTGCTCCACTTTGAAGTTTGAACAATCTACATATCAATGCAAGATTTTTATCAGTAAGATCTTTAATAATCAATAACTATAAATTATGAAATGTAAATATTTGAAGCCATAGTTTGAAAAGATTCTAACAAATATTCACATACCATGTTTAATTAATCTTATATATAAAGCACAAATATTAGTCAAAGAGGGGAAAGTTCACATTTTGTTCTCGTTTTCTTACAAATTTTGATCTTTTTATGATTTTAAAAAATAAATAATTAAAGATTAAAGGTCTTCAATTGATAAACACCTTGTTAAAGTGATTAGAGTAAAATAAGATTAAAAAAGGAGTATTTAAAAATAAGTAAATTTACTAATGGGCCCTTGATATTACAAATATTAATGGGTTTTTATCTGTTTATCTTTGAGTGGAAGAACCATTATTATTTATTGAAATTTCAACTCTTAAAAAATCTATATACACTAAGTGGTGCAAGGTGTACCCAAGTTTTTTTTTTTTTTTTTTTTTCTTACTCGACGATTCATTGAGCAATATTCATCAAAATGAGCAAAATATAGTCTTAGATACACTTTGTATCCGAATGTATATAAAATTGTCCTAGACTCTTACTAAATTTTATATATTTATTAATCTTAATCAGGCAAATAGGGACCTTAGTCCTCTACACCGTGCAGCAAAACACACACACACACACACACACACATATATATATATATATTGATGTTTAGAGAGCCACAAGGGCGATCCCAGGACCTCCTAAGATCGGGAGGGAAGCTCTGACCACTTGAGCTATCCCTCACTCTCCCAAAACATATATATTTAATTGCTCATACTAATTAATTTATCCCACTAATTTATTTACCAATAAGTTTCAATTAGGTGACTTTATTCTCTTTTAATCAACATAATTTGTCAAATCCCACCATATTTTCTCTAATTTCATCAATTTATGATAACAAACTATTTTCACTATTTTCGTGTGAATGGTGTTCAACTTTAATCAACAATAATACCTCTACTAAACATGCTTGTCCATGAAAAATGACTTACGTAGTTTTTGGATATAAAAAAAGTAATATTCCCTCTTTATTATGTGAGGAATAAATGCTCAAAAGAGGCATTGTATTAAGGGACAGAGGGATACGGTATGTAATTTCAATCTAATATATATATATATATATATATATATATATATATATATATATATATATATATAAAGGGGAGTTTTTCCCCAAGTTTTTAGAGAGCCACGTAGGATTTAATTTTCTTAGCGCCATGTAGGATTATAAATTTAAGTGGTAGCCAATTAAATAAGAAATTATTAATTTCTTTTACAATTAAATAATTCAAATGCCACGTAAGCAAAATTGGCGAATGAGATTTTAAAGTTTAAATTAATTAAGTACAAAATATTATCTTTTGAGGTTAGGATTTTTTTTTTTTTTTTTTTTTTTTTTTTTTTTTTTGAGGAAATTAGGAATTTTATCTAATATTTTAAAACTAATATAATAACAATTTTAATCACATATATATGATTTTATTTTTTTTTAAAAAAAAATACTAACAAACCGTGCATCGCACGGGCTTCATAAGTATATATATATAAAGGGGAGTTTTTTCCCGAGTTTTTAGAGAGCCATATAGGATTTAATATTTTTTAGCGCGCCACGTAAGATAAACAGTTTTAGTGGTAGCCAATTAAATACGAGATTATTAATTTCTTTTAGAATTAAATAATTTAAATGACACGTAAGCAAAATTGGCGAATGAGGTTTTCCAGTTTAAATTAATTAAATATAAAATATTATCTTTTGATATCAGGAATTTTATCTAAATATATAAGAAATTTTAGCACATAAATATATTTATAATTTTTTTTAAAATAAAATTTAAACAAACCGTGCATCGCACGGGCTTCATCTAGTGACTTCTATTTTGAAAGTTAAATTAATTTTGTTTTTCATATGTTGTGTATCGTCAAAAATAGGAAATTACGGGAACGTCCTTGAAGACGTGCATATTAAATTATCCATTGTACAGGAATTATTTCTCATTGTGGGCACTTGCTGAATATATCAAGATTGTTCCATTACCTTCAACCAACTCTGTTTAATTATATTTTTATTTATTTCCAAGAATGCCCTTCTTTATTAATTTATGTACCTATTGTTTCAATTAATTTTTCGGGATGAAGAATATATGTAATATTCACTTCTAAATATGAAATAAAACGGCAGAGAGTTTTTCAATTGACATTATTACTTGATGCAATGTATAACATAGTTTCTCCTATCTTATGATCAAATATGTAAGACAAATAGTTTTATGAATTGATACACGTTGTTTGGGTGTCAAAATGGCTTTTATTTTGGTCCTAAAAGACTTTGGCGTCATTGGGCTTTTGATGGTTTAACTATCAGGGCCTTAATCAAATCAGCTTACCAATGCCCAATATGGCCCACGTATTATCTATTAGCTCAATGCTTTAGGCCCATCATTTGTACCTATGCCAAAGGTGTTTTTTTCGGAAAATTTGTCAAGAATAAGCCAATCTTTGCCCGGTTCGCTTAAAATAAGTCAATCTTTCGATTAATTCAGAATAATCCAACCTTTATAGGGTGTCCACTTTAAATGAGTCAAAACTTGTTGTAACCGGTTATTAAGGTTAATTGTGACACGTGTCAGAATGTGATTCGTCATTTTTCTAATAATAGTTAATTAGGAATTATCATATGATTAATTATAAAAAATCTAATAATTATAAATTTCAAAAAAAAAAAGGAAAAAAAAAACCCCAACCCCCCTCCCCTGCCAGACCGCTGCCCACGATGCCCCCCACCCAACCCCCACTTCTTCCTGTTCCCCTTTCCCACCCCGACCCCCCTGCCGGAGTCGATCCCTTCCCCATCGTCAATCGACACCCCAAAACACTTAAACCCCAATTCTGATTTTGTTAGGATTTCGTTAGGGTGGGTTTAAGGGTTTGGGGGGTGGACTGACGGTGGAGAAGGGGAGGGAGGGGTTGACTTCGGCAGGGAGACGGGGGAGGGGGGTCGTTTTCGGCAGGGGGTAAAGGGGAGTGGTGTCGTGTCGGGGTGGGGAAAGGAATGGGGAAAGGGGAAGGGGTTGGGTGGGAGCGTCGTGGGTGGGGGGAGAGGCCGTCGGTGTCGGCGCCGGGGAATTTTTTGGTCGCCGGCCACCGGCGGTCTGGCAGGGAAGGGGGGTGAGCTGGCAGGGGAGGGTGAGGGGGGTTGGGTTAAGGGATGGCAATGTGGGTCGGATGCGGATGATGGTACCTCCATACCCATACCCGCCTAAAAATCTTATACCCATCCCCGCCCCACCACCCATGGCGGGTACAATATCCACATCCATACCCGCCCCACCGGGTACAAGATAGGATCCATCCTCGCCCCATCCCACTTGGATATTCATACCCACCTTATACCCGCCCCAAAATCGTCCCGAATCCGTTGCCATGATGCTCTATTGTATCATATTAATGACGATTATATCAAATTAGGTTAAGAAAATTGGAACTTTCACTATTCAAGCTTATTGGGTCTTAGGGGTATCAAGTTTCATAAATTTTCAACTCTTCAAAAAGAAATATGATGCAGGTATAAGGTGGGTACGGGGCGAGGCGGATATGGGGCGGGTCTACTCTAAAATCCATACCCGCCCCATCACCCATGGCGGGTACACATTTTATACTCATCCCCGACCCATCACCCGCCAAACCTCCCTCCATCCCCCCCCCCCACTTGGGCGGGTCTCCCATTTAACCCGACCCAGTGCCATCCCTAGTTGGGTTGGTTTTTTTTTTTTTTTTTTTTTTTTTTTATAATTAATAGATTTTTTTAATAATTAATCATATAATAATTCCTAATTAATTATTATTAGAAAAATGACGAACCACATTCTGACACGTGTCACAATTAACATTAATAACCAGTTAATAACCGGTTGCAGGTCACTTGACTCATTTAAAGTGGATACCCTATAAAGGTTGGATTATTTTGGGTTAATTGAAAGGTTGGCTTATTTTGAGTGAATCGGACAAAGGTTGACTTATTCTTGACAAATTTTCCTTTTTTTTTATGGTTGAAAACCCTAAAGGATTATAAATTATAATCATATACGAGTACGAAGTATAAATTAGGCATTCAAAGACACCCCACAAAGAAATCTAATTCTATTACCCCGTAGCATTTATCGTATTTCCCTCTGTTCGAAGCCTATTCCTCTTTATTATATGAGTAATAAATTTTAGAAATAGACTTCTAACAAAAGGATGGAGGGAATATCTCTCATATTTTGTCCCTGAGCTAAATTAAGCATCAAGGGGGTTTTATTGAACACACCCCCGAGGTCAGCTAACTTGCTTATTTGTGTAGGTGCTCTGCCCATCAAACACAAGCCTACTAATCAAGGTTTTTTTTTTCCCACTCTAGCTAGAACCTTATTCAAGGTGATCATTTTCACATATAAACACATATACTTTTATATTGGTGGCCGATCAACTGCCAATGTATCACGCAATTTTTTTTTTTTTTTTTTTTTTTTTTTTTTTTTTTTTTTTTTTGAAACACGCCATCTCAATTTTGGAACTACCTCTCTCACCCAAACCGTTTATCATAGATTATGTTGCTCCTATATACTTCTATGATATGTTTCGCTCTGGCCAAACCTTTAAACTACTCCCTCCTTCACTTTATTAGAAGGTCAGTTTCTAATATTTATTACTCACATAATAAAGAGAAATAACTTTTAATTTAGAGACGTAAGGAGTATAATATAGGGTAATACGAAGGGCAATACTAAACATACAAAGGATACTTGTTAAATTAAATTAAATTTATACTTTATTTAGATCAAGAGTTTAAAAATAGTATGAGGAGAATCCCCGAATCCTAATCAAATTAAGCAACCGTGGTTTGAGGATGTGGGAAAAGGCGGACGGGAAGGCCGTGCTCCGGAATAGGCATGGGATTAACAATAACTTTCTCACTAGGAAGCACTTTTTCCCATTTAAACCTCTTGACAATATGGTACATGAACACCAATATCTCTAGTCTTGCATACTCTTTTCCTGGGCACATTCTTGGTCCCCCTCCAAAGGGTACGAATGTGTATGGTGCTGGCCCGGACCCATCGAACCTCGATGGGTCGAATTTCGTCGGTTCAGGGAAAAATTCTGGGTTCAAATGTGTTGTATTTGCACTCCAATATAGCTGCAAATATGTACATTTATACGTGTTAAATAACCTTTAGTTTAGTACAAGGGTCAAAACTGTGAAACATGCATGATTTAAAGTTAAACCTGGTCAAACTGACCTGACTTGTATAGAACTCGAAATAAATAATAAGAAGTCATAGTGAAATTACCTTCCAGCCCTTGGGAATTTGGAACCCGTTGTACATAAAGTCGGAAATGGCTTCTCTAAAACCACCTTGGAGTGGAGGAGCCAAACGCATCACTTCACATGCCACATTCCATGAGTATTTCATCTTTTGTATGTCCTCCCAATTTAGAAGCTCCCCTGGTTTTTTTGAATTTGCTATCTCCATTTGCTCTGCATAGTAAAATTCCAACCACCATTAGATAATAATCAAATCATTAATCTTCTACAAGATCCTCTAAATTTTACGTTTGTTCATTGACTCGTTGTTTAATTAAGGATGCATGCAACAACTTGATATGTAAATAGGGTCTGTTCTCATCAGATTATTTTCAAATTAATTCAGTTCAGTTCACTTTAGTTCAGTTCAACTGTAATAGTGTTTCTTACTATTCCTTCCGAATCTATCCTTTTTATTGTTACATTTTTACTTTGATGATCAATGTTTAAGAACTTTAATATAGTAATAATAGTGCAATACTATAAAAATCAAAATCATATTATATAGGATTTTGATAAAATCTTTAACGAAAATACACTACTTTTGTTGCCGACTGACCATAATGACATGTTGCATTATTAAAATTTCCATATAAAGATTATACTATTATAGCATGATGTCATTATCGTCCCTAGACAACACAAGTAGTACCAAGACTACCAACTACCGAGTGTGTGCGAGTTTAACGAGCGTTGAGAGTAATACGAGTAATGAAGAAAGGACAAAATCAATATTATTACTATAAGAGTATAAGTTGATAAGACCATAAATCATCAACGAGGAGTAAATGCCACAATTATCAAGAAATATTTTAATATACCTCTAGTCAACTAAATTATTGGTTTTGGTTTAGCTAGATGGCCAAGATCCATGTAATTTGGTTTCTTGATTAATTTATTAAAAAATTATTAAATTTATGATTCATACCAACTAAAAAATAAACCTATCAATCCAAAAAAACCAATATGTTTGGTAAAAAGGTGAAAACTAAAACTGATTGTGTTAGCTAATTTTAACTAATTCATAGTTATTTTGATTAACTGATTGCATCGTATTAACTGATTGTATAGAGTGTTTAGTAAATAACTTATTTTCGAAAACCTTGTTATTTAAAACAATTTCTAAAAACTTTTTTAGTATGCAGAATGAAACATTGACATATTTCATCATTATGGTAAATTCTTGAGTTAAATGAGGGTATAATTGTCATCTCACCTTAAATACTTGGATAAACTAATGAATAAGCTCTTGCATACATCTTACTAAAAATGAGCTTATTTGGTTAATTAGGCTCTTTCAATCATCTAATTTTAGTCAAATAAACTATTTCTGTTGTTTAAAAAAAAAAAAAAGCTAATTTTGTCATAGTATTACTTATGGATTTAAGACTTACCATTGTTTAGTCATAGTATTACTTAAGAATGGAGAAATGATTAGCCTTTTTATAACTTTCTATTTTCTTTTTATTCAGTCACACATTCATTAGTCTTTTACTCTTTTATATTTTTCTTTATATCTTTGTAAAAATTATTTCCTTATATAAAAAATTAAAATAAATAGATTTTTCACTCCAAAAATTAATTTTGGCATTTTCATCATAAAACACTGACTCTAACCTTCAATCATAGGAGATATGCCTGGAGTGAAAAAATCATTTCATCTAATTTAATATGGGAAAATCGAATTTATTAACTAGCAAAACGACGAATTTATAACAAGTTACTATACATTAATCCTAGAACTAATTCATGTTTAAGCAAATTAAAGTACAAGTAAAAAATAAAACCATGCACATAATTAAATCAATTAAGGTTATTAATTAGTTACCTTTGTAAACACCTTCATAGATGTGAGGAAGTTCAGCAAGAAACTTGACAATAAAGGTACAAGAAGCACTAGCAGTATCATGTCCACCAATAAGAAGTCCCAAAATTTTATTAGCAATATCCATTTCATTCATAAACTTCCCATCATCAGTAGAAGTTAACAACATATGAGATAGAATATCTTGTGTAGGTGAAGCTTTGCCATCTGCTAAGTCTAATTTCCTTTGCTTGATAATTGCACTCAACTCTTTCCTTACGATTTCAGAAGATTTGATCCCTTTGTGGAACGGTGTCCCTGGGAGATCTATTGGGATGGATATGATCCCTGCGGCTATCTCATTGAAGGGGTCCGCGAACTTGGCTACATGGACCGGGTCCTCAATGCTCAAGAAGAGCCTACAAGCCACCCAAAAGGTGTATCGCTTAGCTAATGGGAACACTTCTACCTTGTCCTTGCCCTCCCACCCGGACTCCATGTGCCTGGTGGCTATGGTGTCCATGATGGGTATGTACCTATACAAGGTAATAAAATCATACATCAGGTAAATATGTACAGTTTTAAACTTTTAATTGAGATGGTTCATTTTAAAAAGTTTGAAGATCGACTTTAAATGTTGTTACCTCACTTCCACCAAAAATAATAAAACATATCAAAGAAATAGAATTTTCACTATGCACGTATATTACTATATCTATGTACATACATATCATATTGTTAAACCATTGATCTAATTAGGTTGATTTAATCCATCATTATGAAAAAATCACATTTAGATGAGGTTGAAAATAATTGAAGTCATACATAGTAATAAATACACATAATGGTACGTATATGCATCACGTACCTTTGTAAAGATTCGGGCTTAAGGAAAAGAGGGATAAGCTTCCGCATAGTCCTAGCTTCTTCTATGGAGGAATGTTGGGTGGCAGCAGGAAAGATCTTGTCAACTGATTTAGGCCACCAAGCTTGTACTAACTTGTTCTCGTTCGAGTACAAGAATTTGTTACCTGTCGCGCCACATAAAATTGCAACCTTTTCACCAAAGATGGAAGTCTTGAACACTTGGCTAGGTTTGTACTTTTTAAGTCTATCAAAGATGAACTTCTCCGGGTATCCCTTCCAACCGGTAGAGAAAAACTCTAGGGATTCGCCCACCACGGGCCATCCCATCGATCCTGGGGGTAGCTTGTACCCCCAGGTCGAATAATGCCTATAGAATAGATAGAGAAAAGGTAGAGATAAGGAGGAAATAAGGGCTATGCTAGCCAAGAAGAAGAGCTCCATGGTTTTTTTTTTTTGGTGGTGGATGCTAATTTAGAGTTAATTTTCACTAATACTTTGAAGGTTGTGTCTATTTATATATTGATAGAGTGTGTGGTTGGATGATATGGGATTTGGGAAAAATACAATATTATAAAACCATATTACAATTAATATCATGTGCCTACATGTATGCTGATTTTATTTTATTATATATATATGTATATATATATTTTGGGTACAAAAGTAAGATAGTGAAAATTTTACTCTATTTAATACGAAGTGTATCTTTCCATGTTGCCCGCTTAATCTTTGTCTAAAAAAAACAAGCAAAAAACACGTAGTAAGTGTAAGATCTGATAAATCATTCAACGGTTAATCAGATAAATCAATGTTTTATCTAATGTTATTTTTTATCATTCAACGGTTAATCAGATAAATCAATGTTTTATCTAATGTTATTGTTGATCATTCAACGGTTAATCAGATAAATCAATTCCTTTCGAAATCATTATGTGTAAAATCTGTTTACATCACGATAACTACATCCAATTTTCTATGTAGTTAATAAAAAATGAGTTGTCTTATCTCAAATTAAAAAAATAAAGGTTGTTAATAAAGATTAATGACCTACTAGACAAATATACCGATATTCATCAAGTAAGAATTTACGCAACCTAAGTTAAATTAATAATAACAAAATAGCCAAGGTTACGGAAAGTAGTGGTAGTAATAAATTAAAGAGAAAGATCCATAAAAATATTCGTTAGTATTGAAAAACATAAATTCAATTATAAATGTTTGATTGATTGCATATAATATTCTCAAATTAAAATATTAGTTATTTGATGAATAAATGAAAAATAAGGCAAAGCAGATTTGATGACCCCAGACTTCCCACGAGGTGCTCGTGGTTAGTAGCTTGAGCAAACATTTATTTTGTCTAGTTGCAAAATTGAGTGATGAACGTCATTGTTATTAGTATTATTTTTCACACAGTAGCATTAGCAAACATATTTGTTCTCGTGGTTAGTACTTGGTAACAATAGCATTATTAGAAAACATTTTTCAAAAGGTTTCGAATGTTGCAATTAAAAAAATGGAGGAAGTAATATGGTGTGTTGTTCTCTGTCATTTTTAATTAGTTGACACATTTTAACAAATTTTAATTATTTTCACTATCTTTTGTGATTCAAAATTATGGTGAACCATATAGACAAGTGAGATCTTGTAAGAATCTTGTCAATGTATACTTTTATAAATATATATACCATTTTTTTTTTTAACAAATGCTGGTATTAGAGATATGAATGTTGAACTTGTGAATTGATAAACAGAATAAAAGAAATGTGTTAACTAAAAAATATTGGAAAAACCTAGTATAGTACTCCATATAAAGTAATACAATACTTTTATAATACCAATTTTTATTTTTAAGGACTGGTTGGTATTTTACGAACATTTTAAAATATGCTTCCCTTTTTTTTTTTTTTTTTTTTTTTTTGTAAAATCATCAATTTGATAAAACACTTAATTAGTTTTAGGACCCTCCCTTAAAAAAAAAATGGAAGGTGGGTTAAATGAACTAAATTATTATGTAAGTGGGATTTGTTGGAAAATTACAATTTAAAAGAAAAAAAATAGTGGGATAATAGTTTTTTTTACTTTCTTCAGTTTCTTAACATCTGCTCACTTTTCGATTTTATATGTTTTTGTAAATTCTACACCGTACATACTTTTACTTTGTATTATGAAAATATTTTATTCATTTTTTTTAATCAATAGCAGGTTTACAACTCTATTTTGTGTGACCTTATCATATTAAATACTTCGTAAATATCTTACTCTCTATTTATTTCCTCTTTAAAGCAAAAGTAGTCACATGCTTTCTACTTTTCCTTGCTTTCAATAGCAATGGTAAATAAGAGTCTCTTCTAATTTATTGAAGTGAGTTGAACTGAATTGTTTATGAGAGAAGCAAATTAGGAACAGAATTGAACTGAATTGAATTGAACTGAATTGAATTGAATTGAATGTAAGAAAAGAAATAAAAATCAATTTAGAAAAATGATGCATTAAAAACTTAAAAAATAAAATATGTAAGTTTGAATAAGAAAATAAAATAGTTGTCATAAATAAATAAATAAGAAAAAAAAAATAATATGAAAAAGGAGGGGTGTGAAAATGCAAAATGTTCCACGTGAGCCTCGAGCACAACTCTGCACAAGAGTCTATAATGGAAATTTTGGTCAATGAAGAGAAGTCAGTGAACATCTTAAAATACTCCGTACTGATTAAGAGCATCATATTAGTTTGAGACTAATTAAGCAATTAGCTATCAATCCAATCATTGACTTCTTTTTTTTTGTTTTTTCAAACGCAAAATCTCGTGTACACCCGATTCTAGAATCTTATGAGCATCCGATCACAAACCAAACCTACTTTGTAAAAATGTTACATTAGTATGTATAATCAACTAGCTTTTAGCCTTTTATCCCAGACGATGCCTTGATTTTTGTAGTATAATAAAAAAAAATGATAAAATAAAGTGAAATGTATTGGTGGTTTTATAGAAAAAAAATTACGGAGTATTTGTTAATCTTTGCAAATATTATTGAACATTAAAATTATTTATTTAATAATTAGTTTTGCTTTATTTGTTAAAAGAATTTTTATTCTTTAGTTGTCATAAAAAAATTAAAATTTTAAAAAAAAAATCCTTCAAATAAACATATATTGTGGTTAAAACTTAAAAGAAAAAAAAAAAATTACGGAGTATTTGTTAATCTTTGCAAATTTTACTATGTATTTTTGGATCACATATTTTAAATACGTAGTAACATAACCAATATAAATTATAAATGAGTAACTTGTCAAAAAAAAAATTATAAATGAGTAATTGAAAGTATTATAATTAATTTTGTAATTGTATTGTTGCATGTTAAAATATACACATATATGTTATAACTAGCAAACATTAGTGATCGGTAAACGCATGACATGACGCCACATGATTTGTCAAGCGATGGAGACACGTGGCGAGATTACAATTCTTGCCATTAAATTTTAATAATATTCTAGGTTTTGGGCCCGGATAATGCCCCAGGTTATTACATGGGGTGGATCATTAATATACGTTGTAATTTATGTCTCAATTTTCTTGTAATTAAATTTATTGCTCAAATTGTCACTTGCTACATATAAATATTTTGCATTCAAATAATAGCATAAAAATCACATAACTTGGTGGTAAGTGAGTTAGTTCTAAAATTAGAGGTTTTGTGTTCAAATCTTGTGGAAATATTTTTTTTTATAATTATAAGTGCAATGAAAAACAAATAAAAGGGAGAGTCGCGTGCCGTAATGAGTAGTTGAGTTGGTGACGTGACGTAGTAAGAGGGTTTACGTGACACATAGACGTTTTTAAGAACGCCTTTTAGTGTATAGATTAGCATAGATATTGATTTTGATACGGATTATTTTAATTAGGAAAAAGCTGATGAGCGCCCCCGGGGCGTTAGATAAGAGAATTAAAGTGCAAATATTAGAGTAAAATTAACATCAATTACACCGAATGACGCGCGTAATTTTGTCATGAATTCCTAACTTTATACCATTTCAACCAATATAATTTATCCTTATCTAACGCGTCGGGACACTCGTTAGCAAGATCGTTTTAATTATACAGTATTTACTTTGTGTAAATAAATCTGAATTTGAGTGAACTTTTTTTTTTCTGACGGCCCATAGGAAGGTCAAACCATCTAATGGATTTTTCTAATTTCATGGCAATAATTCCAAGGTTTTATTTATGGATCTTGCTAACGAACGTTTCTAGAGCGTTGGAAAAACATATAAAATCTTACCTAAAGTATTATTAATTTGGGAAAGCATGACAAAATTACGCGTTGATCGGTGTAATTAATGTTAGTATTAATTTAATCTTTCTACTTTTAACTAGTTTATCCAACGCCCCCGAACATTATTAGCATTTTCCTTTTATTTGTAAAAAATTGAAAATTAATTAGCTTCATTTAGACATTCGACATTCATATGAAGGAAAACTCAATCACTTAAATTGATACCCGAGCAGGCAAGAATCTTACTTTGATGCAAACAATCACATAAACAAATAATATTCGATTAGCAGTAGAAATTGAACATCCAACCATATTATTAAAAGCGAGATTTTCACACTTCGATTGTGTTTGGCTAAAAGATAAACATTGTTTTTTCTTCTAATTTAATGAAAATCAATGAAGGACACTGGAACCCCAAAGAGGAGAGGGAGGATTTGGGTGAGAAGGAAAGACAAGGATGTTGGATAAGGCATAGGCATTTCTTATTTACAAAGGAAAACATTTTGTATTTACGAAACTCATTTTTCAACTTTTTACAAACCAAACAAAGGAAAAATACAAAATTATCTTCATGTAAAATGATTTTCTTCCCATTTCATTATATTATGAGAAGGCCAGACAATACGAATATCACCGAGAAAAACACAATTCCACATACGTTTTCGTTTTTTTTTATCTTCGATAATGCAAGTTAAAATTACATTTAAAAAAAAAAAATAAAAATAAACACCTTACAGTATAGTTACAGAGGCTGAAATTCAACTTCTTTTAGACATGAATCCTCATGCAAAAATTTTACAAAACTCTTATTTCGTAGAAGTTGGCAAAACTATTAATAGAATGCAAAAAGAAAGGAAAACTGTGGTCTTTTTATTCAAAGGTTGGCCATTCTTCTCGGCCTCAATATAGCTCATATCCCAGATTCTTCTCCTCCCAACATACCAAAACCCGAAATGCACAGCTCATATCCCAGTTTCTTCTTCCACAACGCCCCAAAACCCGAAATCAACCGCCAAGTTCACACTTCGTAAAGCCAACAGAGACATCACCACCCTATCTCTCCCCTCTAAACACCTCCATAAACCCTCCAAAACCTCCCCTATTATAATTTTATTTTCGTTACGTTTATCAACCTTCTTAAATTTCGAAACCACCCCTCCTATTTTTGGCATTATATTTGTGTATCCTCTGCGTAATCTCCATGAAAGACGAAGGGGAAAGAGATTGAAGATGAAGATACAACATGAAAGACGATAAAACTAACGAATAAAAACCAAATTTAGCCGTCAACCTTTCAACCTCTGGCGTGAAAGGAAATAAATTACAAACGGCATTACTATCTATCTACCTTCACGTAAAATACATAAATATATATTCCTAAAACTGCTGATGGGCGCGCATGCATTTGCTCCGCTTGTGCGCCCACCATCCTCGTGTTCCTACCTCTTCCATATTCTATCTCTTTTAGCAATAACGGGCATAGGAACACCGGTATCAGGACTCACAGAGGATGAAGCCCTGCTAAAGTTTAAGACATCTCTCACGAATATGGATGCTATTTCCAACTGGAACCCTTCAAATGCTCCATGCTCAGATAAAAAATGGATGGGTGTCATCTGTGAACATGGCAAAATTTGGGGATTAAAGCTGGAAAATATGGGTCTAGGCGGCACCATTGATATTGATGCGATTTCTCAATTGCCTGAGCTAAGGACCCTGAGCTTTAAAAATAACAAGTTTGAGGGTCCAATCCCAGATTTTCGTCGTTTGCCTAAACTGAGATCCGTTTACCTGTCTAACAATAAATTTTCTGGTGAAATTCCTGATGATGCCTTTACTGGAATGGATGCTTTGAGGAGGATAATCCTGGCAAACAATGCCTTCACCGGCAGGATACCATCATCTCTCACCTCATTACCCATCCTCGTTGAGCTGAAACTGGATGGCAACCAATTCCAAGGCACCATCCCGGATTTTCATCAAAAAAACTTGCCAAGCATCAATATGGCTAACAACCAATTGGAGGGTCCAATACCTGCAAGACTCATGCACCTCAATCCAAAACTCTTTTCAGGTAAAACATGTACATCATAGAATTAGGCTGTAATGACAGCACAGATAATGGTAATATGTTAGTGTATAATTATATATCTCATGCTAAAGTCCATGGTAATGCAATTCTACACTCATGCAAATGTTTTTCTTCATAAATTCGCAACAAAAGAAAAGGTATTGCCATGGACATTGGAATTAAACTTTCTTAAAATACCTCCTACAAACTCATTACCACTGCGACATATATTACCACCTACCAATGGACCAATGTTTGTTGCGATACTTGGAAATGTTAAATTTATACTTTTCCTTACAAATCAATGCAGGCAACAAGGGACTGTGTGGGGCCCCTCTTAAGCCATGCAAAGGTAATACAGGGGGTGCAGTATTAAAAGACCTAACCAATTCATCAAGTAAATCCACTGTAATTGTGCTAGTTGTACTACTTGCACTAGTGATCTTGGCAGCAACAATTCTAATAGTATATAAGAAGAAACGCAAGACAAAGCTAAAGAAACTAGATAGTTTTTCATCTCAAGATGGAAACCATTTTGGGGATACACACATGACACCAAACGAGGAGCGCCCAAGGACTGTAAAGAAGCAGTCAGAACCAGGGAAGCTAGATTTCGTGAGAGATGACAGGAAAAAGTTTGATCTCTCTGAACTGTTAACTGCATCAGCAGAAGTGTTGGAGAGCGGAAATTTTGAGTCTTCCTACAAGGTGGAGGTATTTGCAGGAGAGCTCTTGGTGGTGAAGAGGTTTAGGCAGATGAGCAGAGTGGGAAGGGATGAATTTCATGAGCACATTTGGAAAATGGGCAAATTAAGACATCCAAATGTGCTGTCTTTAGTTGCATGTTACTATAGAAAAGAAGAGAAGCTTCTTATCTTTGATTTTGTTGACAATGGAAGCTTGGCTAGTCATCTTCATGGTAAGTAACCTCTCTATTTCTTTGAGAGACATAAATTCAACTGTTATATGGAGTATTGTTAAAACAAATCCCAAATGGTCAATATATATTGCTTCTTCTAGAGCCTGAATTGCTTCCTTTCATTACTATTCCAAGAAGAGGAAACATTAATGCATAAAGAAGATTTTTTAAACATAATGTAGTGAGACTTAATCTGTTTCAGGTAAACATAGTACGAAGGATGAAATTTTTGATTGGCCAATGCGGTTGAAGATTATCAAAGGGATAGCAAGAGGGTTGGCTTACCTTTACAGTGAGCTCCCAAGCTTAATAGTGCCCCATGGATATCTCAAATCATCGAACGTACTTCTTGATTATTCTTATGAACCCCTTCTCATGGACTATGCCTTGAAACCATTGATCAACACAGAGCATGCTAAACAGCTCATGGTTGCCTACAAGTCGCCAGAATATGCTCACCTTGGCCGTCTTACAAAGAAAACTGATGTTTGGAGCCTTGGCATTCTCATACTGGAAGTGCTAACTGGGAAATTCCCGACCAACTTCCTTGCTGTCGGAAATGTCAAGGGTGAAAATCTAGTGGCCTGGGTAAATGATATAGTTAATGAAGAGGAAAAGGGAGAAGATGTGTTTGATAAAGGGATGGGAGGTACTCATTACAGCAAGGTTGAAATGAACAAACTTTTGAAGGTTGGGTTTGGTTGTTGCCATGAGAATATAGATGTAAGATGGAGTATAAGAGAGGCTGTTGAAAAGATTGAAGAGATCAAAGAGACAGACGAGCTCATTTAAAATCCTAATAATTTAGCTTTCCCGTCAATTTTCAATTAGAGAATGTATCAAAGGTCACTTTTTTTTTAACTAGGCATTTTAAACTTAGACAATCATAAAACTTCTATAAATTCTTGCACTTGTTTCTAAATTCTTTTTTTGATTTACTCTTCAAATTTATTTCAGTATTTCACCAAAGAGATTTTTTAAACACCCCCCCCCCCTTTCATCTTACTTTAGGAAGGAACCTCATTAGAGATATTGAAAGTTTTCAAAATTATGGCACGATAACCACCCCATAAAACCAGGAGAAAAAACGATAGAGAATAATGAGACACCTACTAAATATATAGGGTAGCAATCAAATCAAAAGGAAAAAAAGTTCTCACGGCAAGACTATCAATGAGCAATTCATTCTGCCTTTCAATTGTAGCAAACTAGACCCAAAACCTCATGGAATTACACCACCTTCAATATATGATCAAATGTCCACCAACGAAAGGGCCCTACATTGGTAATTCATATTCATTATACCTGTGAAAAATTTATATCTAGCCTCTATGCATAATTCCACACACCTCGTACAGATTTACAATTTATCAATTTCCTTGAAGTTTGATAGTCATCATAATTCATAATTGTCTCTGCTCATATCAAGGCTGGACAATATTTGTATTTAAATTTAAAAAAAAAATAAAAAAAAAAATTCAAATTACCAGTCATTTTCCATGATCCGGATAAGATTTGGATAAAAAATCGATATTGCAGTTAATTAGTTACACAATCAATACAAGTCCCAGACCAATTTGCTAGTATTTTTTTAGCATGGCAAGACTTTCTTTTCTCATTAATATTGTTTGACCTCAAAAGACAAAAAATACAAGTAATATGCAGCTTCAGCCATTCTTTATAGCTTGCAACAATTTCACGCTTGTCAATGCACAAATTTGAAAATTAGTATATGACGTTATGTTTTGAAATAAATTGGAAACCTATACTAACCAATTCTTCCAACTTAGCCAACTATTTATTATTAAAAAAATAGATTCATTGCAATATTAGACAATGAAAATACATTTTAACTAAATTAACTAACTATTCATAATAAAATAATCCTTGTATTTTCTCTTCCTCTAAACAAATTCTTGTATATAAATGCATGTAGAATAGTCCTTATGAATAATAAAAAATCAATCTTTAACATGTACCGGAATACAAACATTAATAACATGGAAAATAATATCAGAGTTTACAATAATATTACTAAATATTTTCAAATTTCTCTTCTTATGTTTGACTTTTTGGAATTACCCCCTTTTATCATGGGATAAAGTAGATTTTAGCTAAATATAAGCACAACATATATGGGTGGGAAAAATTGGATGCCCAAGAAAGCAAAAAAATAAAAGAAATAAGGGAAAAGAAAAAGATGAAGCACATTGACTCGAGGAAATTAAGGTGGATAATTTTCTCTTTCATTTCTTTCTCAAAAATAATGTAGAGAATTAGAAAACAACCAGGAATAACATGAGGCCAAATTTGAGTTTAGATCATTATGCATGCATTTGCATGCATAAGATTAATTAACAGAGAAAGAAAAGGAGGTGAAAAGGGGGAAAAAAAAAAAAAAAAAAAAAAAAGATATAGAAAGGAGGAACGTTTTGCAATGTGGGGATCAAAAGTGAATGCTGGAAAGAAAGCAGAGGACCGCGGGCTGGTGGCTGTGGCAATAGACAAGGATAAAGGCAGCCAATATGCCATCAGATGGGCCACTGACCACCTTCTTGGTCGAGGTCGGCCGGTTGTCCTGATACACGTTTCCGCTGATTCTTCTTATGCAGGTTCCATCCCCAACCCCTTCTCTTCATTTCCATTTACTTGTATTATGACATATATAACTAATGATAATTATTTCAAGATTAGGCCATGGAATTCTGCCTTTTAGCTTGTGCTTAAGATAAGGAGTCAAATCATTGTAGATAATTTGAAGAATTTACACGAAGTTAAATTTGTTAATTTTTAAAAATCTTTTTATACTTGTGAAATAACAATAAGCCAACCAAAAATTACTCTCCGTCCATTCATTTGAAAATTTTAAGCTTTTCTCCAGTATTTCAAGATAGATTATATTGATGACTATGTTTTAATCAAAGAGAGTTTTTTTTTTAAAAAAAAATAATATTCTTGTACAATTTTTATAAATCTTTTTAGCTAGTCAGCTAGTGGGAATTTTTTCTTAAATGAATTAAATAGTTACATAAATTTTCAGCAAAATTTTCAAAACTCAGATCATATTAAATTCAAATGCAACTGTGCATCCATACCAAAGTGTAAATAAAAGAAAAACTATGTCCAAGTAACAATATGTCTTGGTATAACATGCAATGTTGATTACGTTAACATAATAAAAATAAGGCTTTGCACACTTTTATTTTCATGACCATCTGATCCAGATACAATATCCTTCCAAAAATAAATAAATAAAACTACTATATGTATGCAGAATTATTCACCGGATTTTCATAAGCAGCAAGAATTTTATTATTATGAGTATGAACCTTCAGCCTGATATTATATAAATAACAACCAATTACAGCATGAACAAATTGGTAGTAAGCTTACCATTAATCTATAGTAAAGTCCTTCTGATGATAAGCTAGCTCTCTCAATGGTTGGAAATGGGGTGATAAGTGGCAGAGTCATGTGATGAGCCATTCAGCCACACCTTTTGAATAGATGATATAAGTTCCTGTAAGCTTCAATAGAAAAATGAGAAAAGGTTAAACAAAGTAATGAGCCACTAGAAGGCAAACGATACAGGAGAAAATGGCAACAAACATAGGCCATAAAACTAAGTTGTAGTAGATCATAGAAATTATCACCAAAATGATCATAAGTTACACTTTGCTGTATTTTGAATTAAAAGACAGAACCCTACGCAAATAGGCCTTTTCTCATTTGCAATTGCAAACAATAAATATCACCAAGATGTAATCATAATTTCTTTGTTGCTTGCAGCGGGCAGTTCTGCTATTGTATCAACATCAAGTCCAGGCACATCACCAAACTATCAACAAGTTGACAGGAAGACTAAGGACCTGTTCCTCACATTTCGCTGCTTTTGTACTCGCAAGGATGTATGTTTTCTTAACCATACTATTACCATGTAACACTTAATTACACTAGCTAGAATTAACCACACTAGATAAGTCAGCAAGATCTAGACAAAAGAAGTGTAAAGATCAATTATCTAGGTGGTGGAGCAATATCAGCTAACAAGTACAAGTTGATCTCTTACATCTTGACAGGATCTATGAACAAAACCTGAAAACACATAAGCTAGTTGTCATAATTATATCATTATTAGTCTTTTTGCCTTTTGGTATTTGTTAAAGTGCTTACTAATCTGGCTTCTTTTCTGCACTTGGTCAGATACGCTGCATAGATGTCACACTCAAAGATAACGATGTAGGCAGGGCTCTAATAGAATACACAAATTATGCTGCAATTGAGAATTTGGTTCTTGGTGCTTCAAAAGGTGGATTTATCAGGTGATAGCTCCAGACAATGCCCTTTGATAAGTACCAATTCACATTAGCTTATCTATTCACTTATCACAAACAAGAATGGATCAGATGTAAGTATGTATGACAGCTAACTTCACAGATATTGCAGTAAATAGTGCTCTATGAGAACCACTCAGTAAAATGTTTCAGGCAGATGACAATATGACATGTCAAAATGGAATAAATTGTATAGACAAAAAGAGCAATTCCCTGATCTTGTTGACTTTTACCCACCAGTAATAGAAATATAGTTGAAACCTTTTTAATTTGTCATCACATATAATCAAAGCAAGCATTAAGAATTATTTGAAGAAAAATATTTGTCTGATAGACATTGATTACTAAACATTTATTTTATGATGACACAGAAAATTCAAGAGTGCAGATATACCAACAATGGTGTCAAGAGGAGCACCTGATTTCTGCACTGTTTATGTAATCTCCAAGGCAAAGATGTCAAGTGTACGCAATGCATCACGACCAGTTCCACACATGTCCCCTCTTCAGAGCTACATAGAAAACATAGTCAAAGACAAACCTAATGTCTCCACACCTGTTTCAACACCGCCACGACGTAGTATGAGCATTAGAGGTTTCTTTATTTCCATTGTCTTGATATATTACTTAACGCTTCTTCAACTCAAAATAATAATACCTGAATTCTGTAGCAGGGGATAGGCCTTCATTCACACGTACACCTCCAAGAGAAGAAAAAGACTTGAGGTACATCCACTAGCAGGGGAAGCTCAATTTCTATTTGTCAACAGTAGTGTCAATAATCTCAATAATCCTTAATTACTAGATACTGGTATTTTCTTTAAATAAAAGCTTATATATGATGAAACATGAGGCAAAAAAATCATGTTTCACAGACTTCAAAGGTAGAATATAAGCATACAAAAATGCGATCAGGTTTCTAATACTAATTAAATCTCAGTATCCGTATCCAATATTCTCATCCATTCAACAGTACAGAATTATTTTGATGATATTAATTCATGTTTAACAAATATTGTATCAGGTTAGACAGATGGAATGAAAGGCTGATGTTGAGTGAATTTCCAGAAAGTGAAACAGATATATCCTTCGTGAGCTCTGACAGAACAAGTGTTGACCGCCTTTCTATGCAATACGACTACATGGATATAACACGTACACCAAGATTTTCTTCTACTTTAGATTACAGTTATGGGTCTTCTAGGGGTGGACAAAGGATATATGATACTAACCTAAGGCCTGAAATTTCATACACATCACAAGACAGTGGATGGACTTCAGTTTCTTCACAGCATAGTGTAAGTATTTTTTTACTTCAATTGACATATCAATGGACAGCGTCTCCAATTGCAGCAAAACATGAAGTACTTTCACTTAATATCAAATAGTGTATTATCATAAATATATTTTACACAAATAGCGAATATTACCATATATACCTATGCGTTAATCTCCAACAGCTGCCCACCAGGGAACCTAGAAATATTGTCAATAGTATTTGTGAAAAGAAAATATGTATAAAGTAATCTGCCAACAAAGTTTTTTTGTTTTTTTGAAAGGTGAATCTTTTGGTAGAAAAAAGAGCATGTGCAAAAATGCAACTGATAAAATAACAAGGTTGTTTTGTTCTAAAATATCCTTCCATATTCTTTTTCTAACAGAGGCAGCAGACTTTTATGTATCTTGCAAGTATTGTTAACCGGTTTCTCCACTCATGTAGAGAATACAAACCATGTGCCAATGACTTCTATAGTTCTATGCTTATTTGCTTTTTTTTTTTTTGGAAAATCATGTTTGCAATAATATGAATTCTGTTCACGTAAACACAGGAAGATACAGATGCTGAGATGAGGAGGTTAAAGCTTGAGCTAAAGCAAACCATGCAGATGTATGGTGAAGCCTGCAAAGAAGCAGTTTTTGCGAAAGAGAGAGAAAGACAACAAGTACGTTTTATACTAACACACAGACCCCCATCCCCTTTGTCCCAAAATAAAGTTATGTTCTCAAGGATCATTTTACAAATATTTCCACATATCTGGCATTTGATAGTTAGAATGTCAAACAAGTGCAGGCAATGGAGCTCCACCGATGGAGGCTAGAAGAAGACAAAAAATTGAAAGAAGCAGGAACTCCTGAGGAAGTTGCAATGGTGCTTGCTGAGAGAAAAAGAGCAGAAAGGGCAGCAGCACTGCAGGAAGAAAGAAAACTAAGTGCAGGAAACACAGAATACAGACCAACTCATAGTGCCTTAAGTTACAAGAGGTACAACATTGAAGAAATTGAAACAGCAACGGATAATTTCTCTGCATCCCTTAAGGTTGGAGAAGGAGGCTATGGACCTGTATTTAAGTGTTATCTTGATCATACAAGAGTTGCAGTGAAAGTTCTACGTCCAGATGCCTCTCAAGGAAGATCGCAATTCCAGCAGGAGGTAATACATATAGAAGTATTTGTTACTTCAGTAAAATATGAGTCCCTATATCAGAGGCTAGTGTTGTGCAATCTTCCATTTAGTGTTGTAGACAAAAAAAATTAGAATCACCTGTGACAACCTAATCGCACTTGCACCAGATCGATTTCAACCAATGCTGGGGAGAAAATCATGGATAACCATCTTAGTACACTTTATCACCTGAGAATGACTTAATTTGTTTACTGATAATTGTGGAAAAGGATTATGATGACAATGATGCTTGCTTCCTTTACTTCAAAAATAAGCCTCAACTCCAACTGAAATTGATATTATTTTATCTAAGACAAATGTTTTTAAAGAACTGGGTGTACAGTAATTTACTGTGTGGCATTCTAAAGAAAATAAATATGGGTAACTTTTGATAGTTTAAGGGTAATTTTGTTAGAATAAAAGTAAATGGGCAATATGAGTAACTTTTGACAGTTTAAGGGTAATTTTGTTAGAATAAAAAGTAAATGGGTAATGTGGGTAACTTTTGATAGTTTAAGGGTAATTATGTGAGAAAAAAAGTAACTGAGTAATAAGGGTAACTTTTATGGAATTAAGGGTAAATATGGGTAACTTTTGGTATACAATAACCGGATGTAAATTAAATTTACTGTACACCTGATGCATGCAAAAACTTATGTTTATCTAAACGTTTTCCTTCTTTGGATGTCCAACTGATATACCATCAGTACATGTCAAGAGAGTCAAAAGAGTCATTTTTTTGACAATTTTTAGCATTTATACATCAACTTCTACACCTAACATATCATTGCCCCAATGCCTTATTTGGGCATGTAAAAGGGTGAGATAATGTATATAATATATATTCTGGCCCCCCTAAAGTAACTAATAAATAGCAAATATTAACCCTATATATCAAGTTGTTAGTGATAGCCTAGTTAGTTGTTGGAGCTTTTCATGGTGAGGGAGGTCTCAAGTTCGACTCCCCACTATGAGATTTTTTTTTTTTTTTTGGGTTAACTTAATCGTTTTTTGGCCCCCTTAGATTTTTATTCCTGGCTTTGCCCCTGCATGGTCTCATCATAGAAATGAGTAATGTTACTGCTTTAAAGGCTTCATAATATCATAGATGTCTAGAATGAAAAGATGAGAAAAATGTAGCTTGCAAAGACTTTTACAAGGCAGAGACAAAACATTTTGTGCTTAAGAGAAATTATGATCAGAAGCTGAAAAGATGTTGATAGATTTGTGTTTTAGTTTTTAAACTACATATAATGTGGAACATTATAAATTTGTCAAAGGAAAAAACCGCCCTTGAATAGAACATTTAAATATAATTTCAATCGCATGGGAAAAAAAAATTACTAAAGCCTTAAAAAAAACACTAGTTCTCTTCTGTCTACTAAATTCAGTGGAACGCATTTCCCTATCTCACAAGCACATGAAGAGTTCAGTTATCCAAACCAAACTTAAATTGAACTTTTGTAACACCAAATGCAAGAGTTTTAAAATTTATAAACCCATTTAAATGTTAAATCCAGCACATCATTTTTATTTACCTTGAATACGTTGCAGGTTGAAGTACTGAGCTGCATCAGGCACCCCAATATGGTTCTTCTCCTAGGTGCATGCCCAGAATATGGTTGCATTGTTTATGAATACATGGCCAACGGTAGTTTAGATGACCGTCTGTTTCGTCGAGGGAAAACCCAACCCCTTACTTGGCAAGTTAGGTTCCGAATTGCAGCAGACATTGCAACAGGACTGAATTTCCTCCATCAGACAAAGCCAGAACCGCTAGTTCATCGTGACCTAAAACCAGGGAATATACTTCTGGATAGGTATTATGTTGCTAAGATTGGAGATGTTGGATTGGCAAGGCTGGTGCCCCCGTCCGTTGCTGATCACATAACACAATATTGCAAGACATCAGCTGCTGGGACTTTCTGCTACATCGATCCAGAGTATCAGCAAAGTGGCATGCTTGGCGTTAAATCTGACGTCTATTCACTAGGGATTGTGCTTCTCCAACTACTAACTGCTAAGCCACCAATGGGTTTGGCTCACCAAGTGGAACATTACATTGAGAAGGGAACATTTGCTGATATACTGGATCAGTCGGTACCTGATTGGCCGGTGGAGGAAGCCTTAAGTCTGGCAAAGGTTGCTATTCAATGTGCTGAGTTGAGGAGGAAAGATCGACCAGATCTTGAGAGAGTTGTCTTGCCAGAGTTAGAGAGGTTGAGAGACTTTGCTGACGAAAGAACACATCATTTCATGTTTGTTGCCACACCAGAACCTTCCCCTGTCCACAGCCAGACATCCATGTCACAGGTCAGCATTAAGGAAACTTTTTCAGTTTTAATAGCATGAATGCCGAAAGCCTGAAACAATTACATAAATAATATGGCTTCTAGAAGTAAAACTGTCAAGGCCTTCCTAGAAGCTACAACATGATCAGAAAAGGAATAATAGTTCCCCCCCCCCCCCAAACAAAATGCAGTAATAGTAAGCACGCAACTGAGTAAATTTGACTGAGAAAACCAAAATATTAATGATACAAATTGAACTATATACATTCTTCCACAAATTCTCTCAGAGAAACTTGTTCAGTGGAGACAAGCCTCAGAGCATATTACAGTCGTTTATATTTGAAATGTTCATTTTATAGATAGCATATGTTTCATTGTCCATCTCTATTTAACTAGCTGCAAATTGAAACTAGAATTTTAGATAGGACATCACCCCAATATTATGTGTCAGGTGAACTGAGTAAATATATATGTCCCACTTACTACTTACCACATCATAGCTTCTCAATGCCTCTTAAACCCACCCTTGGCAGAATAATATGATCAGATATACACACGTAACCCTTAGACAATCAAGAAGCTAAATATCATCTTCCTTTTATCTGAAATTTAATGGTTGTGTGCTACTTTAAAATCACTTGGACATACATGCAGTTTAAAAACCTATTTTATTTAGTCTTTCATACTCCTTCCAATTTTCTGAGTTCTACTTAGCTACCGCAGGTCCGTAGCTACAAAGACCAGGGAAAAGTAAAAATGGAGACCATGCATGTTGGTACTTTTGCTTTAATGAGAAGTGAGATATAGAGTAAGGGATTTACTAAATACAATTGGGTCCCACAAAGTAGGGTTGTAGATATTAAAAAACTAATAAAAGATTACCATATTAGGAATAAAGTAAAGAGTAGAGATTAGAAAACAGGGTGAAAATGGAAAATGAGTAGAACTTGGGACAACGGTGAAAGTAATTCAAAACTCAAAAGTCTTATATGTTGAATCCTCCACAGGAAAGGGACATTTTATAAGTGCTATTGACTTATGTTCTTGTGAATGTGATGTTAACAAATATTCTAACAAAAAAAAGTTAAAAAATTGCAGAGCGAAGCCTCTAATTCAATTCCGAGCAGCACAAAGGCCCCCTCATCTACAACATCATCAAGAGGTAGATAATAAAAAACATATGTTCTTCAAATCTTGCAACAGCAACAAATTCATTATTTTAAGGTGTTCTCCTCTAAACCTTTACCTTCTTTTATTAACAGCAAATGCAGATGAAACAGAATAAAGAAAAGAGATGACTTACAAGTTTTTGACAACATGTTGAGCTACCCCCAATCAGTTTAGCCAACTTATCTCATACAACATGTCAAAACTGTCAATTGCTGAAGCCTGTTAATAAGCGTAACTAAAGAGCTGATGTTTAGCATGTGCTATAGTTACCTGGAAACATAGATTTAAAGGGAAAAAAAGGAGGGGGGGGGGGATAAACGAAGGATGGATCTCAAGCAATGAAATGTGGCCATTCTGTAATGGATTTTGAAGCTACCATTCTGCAAAATCCTGTTCCAAATACCATGGTAATAATTTCATATATCTTGTGGTGTCAACTGATACATAACAGTAACTCACCATGTTAGAACATATTTCCCGTGATGTATGTTCTTTTGTCAAAAATATTTTATAAATAAATTGTACAGTTCATCAAACAAGCTGTTTTACATAATTATTCTTACATTAGATTAAGAAGGAAAAAAAAAACCACACATACATTGGTATAGGTTTATTTTTATCCTGGTTGGTAAAGGAATGTTTCTAAAACTAAAAAATTGTAAATGAAGCTAAAACCCATTGATGTAACTATTTTGAAAAACTTCACGCCACTTTGACGGTGATCAGTTCAATTCATCTGCCATAAGCCGCTTCTGCGGCAACCCGATCATTACTGCGATTAGTTTTCCATGGTCTCAAGCCCTTAGAGAGCTAAAGACTTCCTTCGAAGTGATTGCAGCTTTAAAAGTATTGAAAGGCATCTAAATGATGACCTAGATTAGTTTTCACCGCTGAGGCTAACAGTGTATCGTGTAATATCATTAACTAGATAGCATTATTTACAAGCCTGTAATGATGTAAATTTCCAAAAGAAGACGAAGCATCTAACCCTATTCCAGTGCTTGTAGATGTGTGTACATAATTCCCCAATATAAAGACAAGAAAGTGTACTCTTTTCCTTGCAATTAATATAACACAATGCTGATCAATATTCATCCCTCTCTGTAAGAAAACCTCCACTACTGCTAACATCGTTCCAAATCTTATTTGCAACTTCTACTCTTGAAATCTTAACAATCTTTATCCCGACCAACCAGATTTCACAATATCAACCGCTACCCACCGAAAATGGTTTAGAAATTTTCGTCATTCTACTCACCTAAAATTATATTTGGTGGACCACAACACCACACATAGGAAAGGTGTAGTCAGAATTTAGAGCTAGGGCAAGGCTAGGTTTGTTATAGCCATAGTTCCCATCAACCCAATTGCAAGAAGACAATTATACTCTAAATAGATATTACTACTAATGCAACAACCAAGCAACCAAGGTTGCTCAATTGAGACTTAGGGAACACCCTCAGTGCCAAGGATCTCGGCCCGGATTCGATACCTAATTACCTACCCCCTCCCCAGTTGCTATAGTGCAGGATTGTATGCTATTGCTTATCTATAAAAACAATACGGTATACTAATAATAGTAATACAAGAACAACATAACCCAGTTTGGATACAAGTAGTACTGGGGTTTGAGAAGATCAACACTTTCTCACTCTAACTACTATGAAATTAAGTGGTACCTAGAAAACAAATTTAGTGGACTAATTCAAAGTAAAAAAAAAATAGCAAAATTGTGGGTAAATTCACATGCAAATTCGATGTTTGTGTTAAAAAATTTAGCAGCATCATATAAAAATTATCTACTAAAAATTGATTAAATTGGGGTGTAATTAATAAATTAAATTTTGCAAAATTTAAAAAAATGAAGGAAGTATTTTGCTAAACTAACAGGCATGAAGAATCTGGGCAAACACAAGAATGCATTGATAGTTGCAATAATTTTGCAATTTACAGTAAAATCAGTTAAATTCATAGCATATGATTGCTAACTGTTATGCATGCAATCCCAATCAAACTTTAATTAAGAACTGGGTTACCTGCAAATTTCCCAATTTCTGAGTTGAACAGTCGAAGTTGAATCCTAATTTTCTCAGTTTTGAAAGATGAACATTGTTTCAGGATTTTGGTGATTTTTCTAAGGGCGGGAGTTCTTTTTTTTTTTTTTTTTTTTTTTTTTTTTTTTTTTTTTTTGTGCAGAGTTGACGAGGTTGAGACTTTCAGTACTCCGTTTTTTTTTTTAATTAAGGGCCTCTTTGGTGGTAGCGTTTTGAGTAGCGGGTAGCGTTTTGAGTAGCGGGTAGCGTTTTGACTAGGTCAAAACACTAGTAGGTATAATTAGTAGTGTTTGGCAACGCAGCGGTGTAAGTAGCGGGTAGCGGTAGAGGTAGTGGTTGGATAGATTTTCACAAACGTTAGGATAACAAGCGTTTTATCCCACAAAAGTAGCGGTGTAGGCAAATTTCTGACTTTTTCTTATTTATCACGTCAAACAACTTTTTGAATTTATCATCCAAATTCCTCCATCATCAAAGTTCCATCTCCTATCAAATTCCTCCATCATCAAAGTTCTCTTGATCACCAATTATCAATTTATCATTGTTCAAGTAAGAGTTCTCTCCTTAAATATATCCCTTTTTTTTTGGATTTTTTTTTTATTCTGATTTTTTTTTTTTTTTGAATTGATGATATGATTTTGTATTCTTTAATTCATCTTTTGGGTATCTAATTGTTATTCTGTGATCACTAATTGAAATTGGTTAAGTGTTCGTTGATGGTTTTCATACTATGCTTATGAATCAAACTGAAACCATGGTGTAAACTGATGTTTACGTTCTTTTTATATATTTTTATTATCAATTATCAATATACATTGTTGTCAACATAATTAAATTGATTGAGCGCATGTAAGTGTAGTTACGTTGACTATGATTCATACATTAGTATTTCGTATTTTAATACGAGTAATTAAGAGCATTTCTTAAATAATTGCGTGTATGTGTGTGTTTTACACAAGATGATAAATTAGAGCCTTTGGTGAAATTTTGATAGAATTTATTCCCGTAGTTTCGAGTGTTATAATTATTACTTCGTATTAGATTTGTTTTTGCCACTACCAATTATTCAAGATTATGCTAATTTTTTTTTTCAATATATGGTCTTTGTAATTATTGATTTGTCAGTCATAGCTCTTTAAGGTTTTAGAAGTGATTATACTAATGGTTGATTTACTCCTATGTTCTGACCTTAGCTTGTATCTTATAATTTATGGTCAAACAAGGCAAGCTTGTAATGTCTATTATTCTTATATGCTAGGCCTTACCTATAAATTGAAATCAGAGTTGCAAAAATCAGAAAGTATTAAATATTTGTTATTGAACTTAAAATATGTGGTGTATGTGCTATTTTGTTAATACTTTGTTGAATTGATGATTTTATGTGCTTGGTGGTTAGATGGCCTCATCATCGAGTAAAAAAAAATAACAAAGGAAACACGGGGCGGTGAAACACGAGGCAGTGGCGGTAGTTTTAAGTGGAGTGACGAGGATTCAATCACCCTATGTGATGTTTGTCTTGCATTTATAAAGGAAAATGGGAAGGCACAATTTTTTAGGTGGAAGGAAATTCAAACGGATGTCGAACAAAAAATTGGTCGTGAATTAAGTAATTCAAATACTTGCAAGAACAAATATGACACAATGAGAAAAGATTGGCGTCTTTGGAAAAACTTAAAACAATCAGAGACGGGTATAGGATGGGATCCAAAGTCGGGAAAAATTGACGCTACAAATGAATGGTGGCAAAGAAAAATCAAGGTGTGTAAAATTCACAATTTAATCTATTATATAATCTTCATTTTAACAATTATAGTATGAAATTATTTTTAATAAAATTTTAATTTTTATAATAATTTAATGTAGGAAAATTCAGATTTCCAAAGGTTTCGACTAAGGGGTGTAAACTTGGAGCTTGAACAAAAGTGGGAACAATTGTTTGGAGATTCTTATGCAACAGGAGAGAATGTTTATGTGCCCTCAATAGACCCCATTGAAGATCTTACTATACAAAATGAAAATTTAGAGGAAGAGAATATTGATAATGATGGTGGTGATAACTATTTTCCAAGTGACCAATATGCTCAAGATTTACTTAATGATGAGGGGAATTTTTTTCAACATTTTATAGAGCAAGCACGTAATGATGCTAACTTAGGTAGTTCGGGAAGTAGGTCATCACAAGTGACTAGTGAAGCTGTAAACAATGACACTCGTCCTTCTAATAAGATTCAAAAGCATCTTCCATTAAAGTCTAATAGTGGTCAAGTGAAACGTACAAGAAGACAATCAGCGGGATCTGCAATGATATCTAAGGGAATTATTGAAATGACAGAATGTGTTAAACGAATTAGTCAAAGCAGTACATCAAATGTGTCCACGATTTCCACAGCAATGAATACCATATGTCGTATGGTGGAAAATGAGTATTTGGAGAAACATAGTGAGTTTTGGTGCTTTGCTACTACTGTCATTGGAGATGCAACTAAAAGAGAGATTTTTTTGAGTATGGAGGATGATGATAGCAGAGCTAAGTGGTTAGCATATCTATATATTAAGGGTAATAACTAGTATTAGTTTAGAAAAAAAAATGTTTTTTTGTTTTCTCTAGTGGTAAAATAAAAATTTAGATTTGTTCTATGTGAAATACTTGGATTATTTGTGTTATGTATGTTTTTCCTAGAGAAATTTTTCAGTACTTTTTATGATAGTTTTATTCATGACTTATTTTTATAATTGGCAGGTTTGTTATTAATATGGATATTGATGAGGAAAGAATGCGCAAACTTTGGATTGCAATTGCATTTACAATATATTTGATGTCTACATATTTTTATAAATACATATATAAAGAACCATGCATGACTTCAATTCTAACAGGAGAGATGTGGGTAAAAGAAATGTTGATTGGCAATCCTATTCGATGTGTCAATGCATTTAGAATGGAGCCACAATTATTTTTAAGATTGTGTAATGATCTATCATCTAAATATGGACTGAAATCTAGTTGTAATATGTCTATTCACGAGAAAGTTGGCATTTTTTTATATGCAGTTGCTCAAGGTGCCTCAAATAGAGTTCTTGGTGAGCGCTTTCAACGTTCCGGTGAAACTATAAGTAGGGCATTTCATGATGTCCTCAATTCAATTTCTTGTCGAAAATCCAAGGGGCTTGCATATGATATTATAAGACCATATGATCCAACTTTTACACAAGTGCCGGCAAAAATAACAACAGATGCAAGGTATATGCCTTATTTTAAGGTAATCTTTTTCCTTTTTTTTTTTGTAGTGTTGTCATTAGATTATGTCATTAGATTATAGTTTTGATATGAAAGACTAATATTGATTGTATTTCAGGATTGTATTGGATGTATTGATGGTACACATATAGAGGCATGTATACCGGAGGCTCTACAAATGCCTTATAGAGGAAGAAAAAGGAATTCCTACATTTAATGTATTAGCTGCATGTGATTTTGATACGTGTTTCACGTTTGTATCAGCGGGTTGGGAAGGTTCCGCGCATGATACTCGTGTATTTCTTCATGCAATTGAATCTCCAGCTTTTAAGTTTCCTAAACCGCCTGAAGGTTATGTTAATATCATTTATATTGTGAATTTGTGATAGGTAAGTACTATTTGGCCGACAAAGGGTATCCAGATCGAAAAGGTTATCTTGTACCATATCCGAAGACAAGATACCATAAGTCACAATTTGAAAACGAGCCTCCAAAAAATGAGCGTGAAACTTTTAATCGTTGGCACTCATCTCTTCGAAGTTGCATTGAGAGATGTTTCGGAGTTTTGAAGCAAAGGTGGAAGATACTAAGAAGTATGCCACAATTTAGCATTGAGACACAAATACGGATTGTGGTTGCAACATTTGCACTACATAACTACATTCGAATAAATTCTCCAAAAGATCCCCTTTTTCGAGTGTTAGAGGATTATCCTAATTTTATACCATCATGTGAGCTTCCTGATGTCCGTGTTACTCCCCAAGGTCAAAATTGCACAGAAAGTTGCACTGAAATGAAAATCATTCGTGACAAAATAGCAGCTGCTTTATGGAAGGCGAGAAATGAGAGATGCGATTATTATAAGAAACACCAGTAGTCTCTTTTATCGAATTGCTTTGTTTATTATTATTATTATTATTATTATTATTATTATTATTATTTATTATTATTATTATTGTTGTTGTTGTTATTATTAGTATTGTTTTTTTATGAGGATAAATGTATTTTTTTTATACTAGTACCTATGTAATTATTATAATTATTATTATTATTATTATTATTATTATTATTATTAGGGCCTTTATTATTTATGACTTTTATTTACCGATTTTATAATATAGTAACTATTTAATTTGTAAATTTTATTATTTTTACATAATCCAACCGCTAAATTTACCAAACACTCATACTATCAACAACTACTTTGACAGCTAACCTTCACCCGCTACTTGTTGACAGCTACCCGCTACTCAACAGCTACCCGCTACCCTCTACAGCTACTTTTGCCAAACATGACCTAAGTACTCCGTAAAAATTAGGTACATTTTATGAATTTTCAAAAATTAAATATGGAGTAAAGAGTCACCAATTTACCATGCCATTGAGAATTTTTCTTAATTAATTACTCTATTTATGAATATAATTAAAGTTAGAATGTGTATTAAAATGAATCTGATCATAGTTTATACCTTATCATTAATCATTATAGACATCCTTGTAAAAAAAATATCATTAGAGACATTCTATGATTTATGTACTTGACCAATATAAACTTGGTTCAGTGGCAAAGTTTGGGATCAAACCCTACTAGTGTTACTTTGAGGTAGGGATTATCTTACCATCCCCCCCCCCTCCACTTTTAAAGTGTCTAGGCTGTTAACCCGTATCGGGAGGACTTGTGAGAGATTTTGACCTGATAGGGCCCTTCTCCTTACCAACAAAAAAACAATAATGGGCACTTGAGGAGTTGAGGGTAAGTTTGTCACTAGTCTTGAAAAAAATCTTTGATAATTGAACAAAGTATTAAGCTGAGTTTTGCTCTGGTAAGACCCTCGTCAAATGGGGAAAGTAAAAAGTGGGAAAAACAAATAATTCAAGATAAAGTTTAAAATTAGAGACGGTTGTAGGGTTCGAATAATAAAAAGTGGGTTAAAGTTAGAAGAAAACTAATACGGAGTATTGTCGAGTCCAAAGTAATGCTCGTCAAAAGGGTTCAAACCCAGCTCTATGCATGTCCAACATGGAACACAGGAGAGGGTCCTCTAAAAAATGGGGGATCCAAATTAAATGCTTGATATCTAATAAGGGATAATTGGTGTAGTATTGTAACATGTTTCCGGTAGAGCCCTAGCGGTTGGCACACGTGAAATCAAAGACTATATGGTTAGGCTTGGGTTGAGCTTTGTTACTGCTTCGATTTCATGGAGTACAAAAAATTACGGCAAAATCTTGAATAATTAATGGCTGTCTACAGCTACTATCACCTAACTAAAAAAACACTACCTTAACTCCTACACTGGACTCTAACTTTCATCTCCCAGCACAGATGGAACTAGAGCGAAATACCCTGTACAAATAGGCTGCATTTGTCAACAATTTTGTCTCCTTCACACCATTACAGTCCCAACTTCCTGCTTACTGAGGAAAAAACGAAGGAGCCTACGTGTACATTAAAGAAATCGATTATCTATAATAATCATCGGAAACCTCATCTACAGATACAGATACACCAATATCTTCATCAACTACAACTTTATCTTTGGGTTTCAATGCTTTAGCTGAAGGCTTTGCCTTCTTCACAGGTTTCTTCACCATCTCTGCCTGTGACTCCAAGACCTTCTCAGAGGGTTTCCGCTTCCTTTTCAAACGTCCACTTGTGTCTTCTGCAGGAGAATTGTCTATACCTGCAAAACAAAATGGCATTCATATCAAAATCATTGACAAGTAATTCTTATAGCATGAACTAGCATTAATATACTTGGCAGTGTCATCGCACTTTCAAGTCACGAGTTCAGCCAGGTCAGTAACGAGTTCAGCAAAAATCGGTTTTAGATACAGTTTTGATCTTACATTTTAAAGTTGGTTGCAGGTTATCTCAGATTAAGTTCTGATCAGGCTTTTTTGGGTCGAGTAAATTTATGCCAGCCCAGCCAAATAGACAGCTCAGAATTGCTATTGATTGATCTATCACATAGTAACATATTAGATGTCATTTAAGTCCTTGCATGCAATTTTAGCATAATATACTTAAATTATCAAGAATTTCAAGTCAATTAGAAAAAATAAACAGATGAATCTAGCGCATTTTGGACTTCATAGTCTTCATTTGTAATCAGTGAATCAGTGATACTCCATATTGTAATTGGGTCTACAATCTCTACATTAAGAAAAAACCTTAAACTGCTGGCTAGTAATTGTTGTGGACTTGTGGGATAGGATAACTTATTTAGTTCCATTGTGAGCTAGGGTGGAAGGAGAATTTAAGAGTTACTAAGATTTGTTCATCAAAATTGGGCTAATATTAAATCTGTTTTTGACTGTTACGAGGGCAACTTGTCCTCTCTTTCTGTTCTTACTGCTATTTGCTCATTCATACAGAGTAATATATGTTCTTTTTTGTTTTTGTTTTTTTCAAAGTAATTGAACACATAGGCTAAACACATCCATTTAAGTTGTATTCCCTCAGTCCCTTTTTGATTTCTCCACAGGGCAAAGTTCACTTGATGAAAAAGTGAGGCAAATTTGAGCGTATGGGTTTGCAAATGGGGTTGGTGTGTGTGTGCGTGTGTTTGTGAGAGAGAGAGAGAAAGAGAGAGAGAGAGAGGAGAGAGAGAGAGAGAGAGAGCAAGTGGGAAAGTTACCAAGGCAATGGAGCAATCTCAAAGGGACACCCCAAAGAGGAACACGGAGCACCAAAAAGGGACGGAGGAATACTTAAGAATTTGAACTGAAACAATACAACAGCATTTTTCAGTAAGTTTGTTTAGTTGCATAAATGCATGAAGTACTTTCAGGTTACTTATAGTAATTCCCACCAAAAGGAGATAATCTAACATAAGTAAGACGCATCAGGCCTTCCAGTCACTTTTAAGTTTTAACCATGAAATACGGCTGCATTGTTTCAGTTCGGCGATATTGTTAAACCAAAAGTCTATTTCAGTATAGGGTGTTTCAAAAACCCGTGATCTCATCCAAATCAAGCAATTCAAAACCCTGATTAGCCCAGCATTGGATGCTGAATCATTTGTTACTTGCTACCCCGTACTTAGAGATGCAATGAAAAGATTCCCCGTCTCCCCAATAATAGATCTACGCCTCTAACAATTTACTCTAACTAATCTAATAGTATAATGTGTACGACTATTATAGAATCCTAAAAAGACTTTGAATTCAAATTATCATGACAGCCACAATTGTTCCTACAATCGCAACCAAAACTGTATTTTCAAACTTTTAGAGCATACTTTTGGCACCTCAATTTTTTCTGTACATGAGCTTTGCCATCAGTCTTAAACTCTTACTTCACTCTCCATGATTCTATTGCAAAAAGGAAGACTAACCCAAAAAGACTGGGAGGCGTATACCTATATAGATATCCTTTTTTCTTTTTTCTTTTAATAGAGGTATATAGATATCTAAACATTTACACTGCTAATTGAAATTAAATAAATCATCATTGGACACATTTCCCATAAATCTGTACATAATGGATTTTTGTTTGGGCCAATAAGCGCAGACCAGTCCATAGCCAGTGCGTTCTATCTATCACACAATTTACCTACATAAGCAAACTCAAACATAAAATCCTCAGATTATGTGAGTGAAACCTGATTAAAGGTAGGTTAGTTTTATTGGTAATTGAAAGGTTAAAACTAAGTCAAGAGTCCAGCTTAAGCAGCAAAGCTTAACAATGAACTTCACTTACTTTCAACATCTAACATGGGGAACATGATTTTAGAACTTTTCACACATATCTAACAATCACTCATCTTTCGGCCTGCTCCTTGAAGTTTCTGAAGATTTTATTTTTATTTTTGCCAAAAAGAAAGTTCTGATGAGCCACAAACAGCTACTTGTCCTTCAAATCAAGTCCCTCTTGACTAGCATGTGGTTATGTCTTTGCCATGAGAAAGTCTGGTCTAGTTAATATTGATAAGGATATGCTGATCTTTGAGTATCCCATAATTAAAGGTTTCTTTTCACCTGTAAAGACCAAAACCCTAACCTATATAGCAATACATATAAACCTAAGTAATACTAAAAATGCTTCAAAAATAAGTATTCTTTGGTCATATTAATTACTAGTCTTTCTGATTTAGCTGCTATATTGTAGCTTTAGTAAGTAAGCCAACATTATTAGTGGCATGACTGGCATCAACTAGTAGCATGATTCAGTTAGCGTGATATATGATTCCTTTGTTTATGGCACTAAGTACTCCAAGATTATTAGTTGGTTTCTTTAGGAAGTTGATTTATTTGGTAACCTATTTAAAGGCACTTTCTTCTAATTTCATTTGAGTAAGAATGCAGCAATATTTCCTCAGTTAATTTCAATCTTTTGCTTTCAAATTTCCAACGCGTAACAAATTTTGAATTACATGCATCTCCAACTTTTCATAGCACCTACTGAGAGCATTTGACAAGAGAAATCTTAACATGATTCAGACAAAATGGTTGATCAAGCATTTACCTTCAACATGACCTGACTCGTGGTTCATAGCTAGCCCATTTTGTGCTGCATCTGCTGATAAAGGAGACGCTGAGAGACTATTTTCTACCAATTTCAGTGAATTTCCAACACCTTTATCCTGTTGCTCAGGAGCGTCAGGACAAGGGGTTGCAGGCAAGAAGCAAAGTTCTTCCTGCGACAAATCCGAATCACTGAAAGTTGAATCATGCTCCACTGTTATAATATCAACCTCTTCGTCCTGGTTAGCCTCTGATTCTTTAACCTATCAATATAACACAAATTAACAACGAGCAAATCAAGAAAAGCAACATAACAAGAACACACAGAAATGGCCATCAGACCTTTTCAGTTTCAGGCATGATATCAAATTCATCTTCTCTTTCTACATATTCTTCATTTTCTTCAAGCTCTTTAAAATCAGGGGCAAAAGCGCTCCAGTTCTCAGTGTAGTCTTTAGCCCATATGAAGATTGAGCCAGTGTAGGACACTGAGACAACAATAGGGTGAACCGGATGCCAAGCCAAATCAATCAAAGCTTCTTTTGGACCTTCAAGGAATTTCACAAGATGTCCTGCCCGGTCCCATATGTATATCTTATGCTCTCCTTTGCTAGCAGAGCCACCAATAACCCATTCACCATCACCACTAAAACCGGGAGCCTTCCAGTGGATTCTGGTTACAGAGTCTTGAAACTCTCGGTATAGGACTAAACTCTTAGATCCAATTGCCTTCAACTTCTCAACCCAACCAAGATCATTCAAAGTTTCATCCATCTCATCAAGTGCTTTCAGACCATCCTTTGTAGGTAGCATATTTTCATAAACCCTAATAATCCGATCACTAGAATTCGTGAGAAGATATTGTCCATTCCTACTAAATACAATGTTCTTGATCACAGCACCCACAGCTGGAGGAATAAGGGCACGTACTTGAGCCTTATCGTGAGCAACTATGAGGATCTCCCCCTTAGAATTTCCCAAATAAACGAGATCCCCATGCTTGTTAAAGCACGCAGGAATGTGAGGAGTAGTTTCATCAAAGACTTTGTTTCGGGAAGGAACAGAAAGCCCATCTCCCCCATCTGAAACTGATGCAGGCAAAGCAGTGATTATTCCAGCTTTCATTTCAATAATCAAAGGAGGCGAATAGACAGGGCACACCAAGCACTTAGATGGAGTAGAAGATCCAGGATAAAGACGGGCTTGCAAAGGAGCTTTTTCCAATGCTGTTTGGGCAACTTTCTCTCCAGTAGCTACATCCCAGAGAATCAATGTTCTGTTAGCAGAAGAAGCTAATATGCGATGGCCACACTTTGACCAACTGACACTTGTAATGGCAGCATTACAATCTTTATCTTGGAGCTCTTTCGCAATCCCCCGAGTTTCAAAGTCCCATATGACACAGCTTCCATTGGAGCAGCCAGCTAAGTAAATAGAAAAGAGTCAAAAGTTATACAGATATATTGGGGTAACAACAAATAGAATAATGACCATAACTCCATAAATGAAATCCCAGCTTGACAGCTTGAAGCATTTTTCAGTTTTGATGAATGCTACTAACCATAAGATACAATTTGGGATACTGGGAGCCACTAAGAAATTAGGATGCAAATGGAGTGTCCACCTAAGTAAATGAGCAATTGAGAACAGTTTCGAAATAAAATACCCTAGATTTCTGATGCAAAAACAAGTCAATAATCGAATGAATCTCTCATACATCTTTACCCATGACAGTACATGAACAAAAGCAGTATTTCAGTGTTCATTCCTATATAGCACTGCAAGGATGAAGAATTTTCAGAGGACGAGATGAGATATTTTTCTTCGTTTTTACTCTTGAATATCAGAATTAGTTCTGGATAGATCAATTAATCATTATAGACAGTAGCTGAACTCCTTCCCAACCTAAATGGCAGTAACATTTAATACATCAAATTGCAGCTATAACCTACTAAGCAGTTACAACAGAAACAAAACAATACCAATATCAATGACTTTGTCCCAAAAGTCCAAGCATTCATCATCAATTCTACGATGCTAACTCCTTAATACCTAATAGCACTACAAACAAGGCAATGCAGGGCCCGAAAGTCGGAGCAACAAATTTCAACTCTAGGATAGAAACATGATAAACCCACATACATTCTCCACCATTTAACCAAAGCTACAAATAAACCGAGTATTTGAGATGCTGGCCTAATATTACGATGTAGTAACAACAAATTTCGGAATTTCAAATCCATAAATCAACCAGATAACCCCACAAATATGTTCTACCACTAAATCAAAGCCAAATTACACTATATTCTAAAATTCAGCAAAGCTATATTCTTTCTTCAGACAAAAAATGCCAATTAAATTAAAGCTCATAACTTCACTATTTTTTTTTTTACAATAATAATTAAACATAGTAAAAGAGGGAAAATTATACCAGCAAGAAGGGTGCCTCGACGATTGAAGGCAATGCATTTCATAACACCATGTTCCAAATACTCTTCTATCACTTCTGGGAAATCCCCTTGCAATGGATCTTCAAACCAACAAAAAAAAAATTTAATTAAATTTAAAAATATTGAAAGAAAAAAAAAAACGAAAGAGAGAAATTGATTACCAATAATTGGGTTATTCATGTTGCATTACTTGAAACAAAACCCTGATAACAAAAATAGCAATTTTATCAATTACCCACTTCAATTTTTGAATTCTTTTGCCCAAATTATAAAAAGAAATAATAAAGTAAAGAAATTTGGAGATGAATTAATGTCGAAGAAACGAAAAACCCAGGAAAAAAGACTAAAAAAAGGAGGAGAGAGAGTAAATTACAGGCGGAAGAGAAGAATGTTGAAATTGAGGAACTCGAATTTGGGGTTGTTTTCTGAAACAACCAAATAATTGATGTTATTTGCAGAGAAAATCGAGGAGGAAATTAAATCTAGTCAAATTTGATAACCGAAATAAGGGGGAAATATTGAAGCTCGTTCTAATTGAGTGATGAAAACCCCAGAAAAATTGGAGATTGAAAGAAAGGAGGAAAGGAACCTGGATTTAGGAGGGAAGCACTAGCAGAGTGAACCTAACCGAAAGAGAACGTCTATGGAAAATACGAGTAGTGGTATGAATAAACTCGGCTATAGATTTAAGGGTCTGTTCTCGTGATCTTCCGTTGAAGTTCAGTTCAGCTCTTAATCTACGTCTAATGATATTGCTAATAATATAAAGCCAAATTTCATTATTTTAAGCTCTTATTACAACGACGCAACCACAACAACAACAACAACAATAATAATAATAATCAATAATTAATTAATAATAATCAATAAATAATAATAATAATAACAATAATAATAATAATAATTGAAATAATAATACTAATAATAATAATCAATAAATAATAATAATAATCATCAATAAATAATAATAATAATAACAATAATAATAATAATAATAATAATAATCAATAATTAATAATAATAATAATAATAATATTATTATTATTAATATGTACATTTGTATATACACATATGTATAGTAATAAATAATCAATAAATAATCAAAGATCACTAATCCGTAGTTAAAAATCACTAATTAATAAGTTCAGTTCAGTTCAGCTCAGCTCAGTTCAGTTCAGTTCAGTTCAGTTCAGCTAAGTTCGGTCAATTGGAACAGGCCCTAAGTGGACCATCGTTAGGAATGGCAACGGATGGGATTCGGGTCGGATGGAGCTCCACCCGCATCCACCCGAATTATCCATCCGCTCCACCTGATCCACCCGTCACCCGCAAAACCCATCACCCACATCCGATCCATCCGTCATCTGCGGATGAAACGGGTGGATCGGATGCTTAGCGGGTGATAATTATAATCCTACTCTAATTATAAAATCTAATACGTTATTATATATATAAAAAAAATGTTAGCCAATTTTAAACTTAAAAAGTAAACCATTGATTAAATTTTTATTCCAAACTACAACAATAATAATAATAATAATAAAATAATAATCATGAACTTACTTTTTTTTTTTTGAACGAAATCATGAACTTATTTCGGTACTACATAATTGGGAATTGAGGGAGGTTTTATATTTTTTTTAAATAAAATTAAAGAATTTTTAGAAAGATTTATTTTTTTAGAAATGTACAGTACATACATAGTGTAGTATACTAGTATATAAGACAATTGGGAATTATTTTTTTTTATATAATACGGATGGACTGCGGATCGGGTGATAAACGGATGACGGATCGGGTGACGGATGAAACGGAGCCCCACCCGAATCCGACCCGATCCGTCACCCGCTTCATCCGTCACCGCCCTTCATCCATTTAATGCGGATTTTCGTCCAGCTATTTATTTTGGGTGGATCGGATTTGCGGATATCCATTTAGAATTGCCATCCCTAACCATCGTTATACGACTTGCGAACCATATGGTTCAAGTGTTCAACTTTATGGATATGGGCTCGAGCTCGAAAAGAAGTTATTGATACAATCCTATTAGGACCGATTGTGTAAAAAAAACTTAGTAGGATCGAAGTTTAATTTCAACTAAATGTATTCGTGTGAATTTGAGAATGAAGATTAGTCTAGTTGGTTGAAGGTTCTCCTTCCACCCCTCATCCCAAACAAGTAGGTTTTTCAATCTCCCCCTACTTGTCAGGAAATTCTCCTTACCTACCAAAAAAAAAAAAAGTGAATAGAACATATTCAAAGTTTTACTAACCGATTAATGTTATGTTTGGTTTACTTGATGAAAATTGAGTGATGATACTCAAGTTTCAAGTAGGGTTAGTAACATATATACAGTCACATTGGTAGAGGTGCAAAACTTTCGTGGCGGTGTTTAGCAAAACTTAACTTTGAAATACTCCCGAACCGACCCGAACTCATCAAACCCAACTTGGGTACTAGAATTGACACATCTAAGGTGATTTTGTGATGATGGTTTTGACGTCAACGTTAGCGGAAGTGATCGATAATGGCAGCTACTTAGAGGTGGTGGTGTATGTGGTGATTAATTTTTAAACAAAAAGGTGGCAAGGTTAATAAATAGAGCTGGAAAAAAGTCATGTCGTGTCGTGTTCGTGTTTGGTCTCGTGTCAATGTCGTGTTGTTCATAAAATTTATCAAAAATTATGTAAAATGTAAGATAAATGCATGATTTGACCACTTTATCTAAACGGTTTGTGTTCGAGTTGATTTTGTGTCATCATGTCGTGTCGACTTTGTGTTTTCTCTCAGTAACTTCGTGTTCGTGTCTTGCAGGCTTTGATCGTGTTGTCGAGTCATGACAGAGATTCTCAGCTCTATTAATATAGGTGACAATGTTATTGAGTTTCGTCTAATACTTCGTGTGTGTTAATGGATATATGCTTTACTGTCAAATTTGATGACACACCTTTTATAAAATGAAAGTAAATACTGGTAAAAAAAATTATATATAATTTAAGAATCGTTTTAATGAGAAGCCTCCAAAACCCCCATGCTAAACTCTTCTAGCATTTTACTTTGTTCCTTTATCAACAATTTACCATAGCACTCAAAATCCCCAACCATTCAATTATATGCATTTTTTTAATAGACTATCCTCCAAACAACTTCCATTTCTCTAATCATTAAAACAAAAAAATGTACAACCACGTTTTTTACGCGACTGGTTTCACTGAATAACTGCTAGCAAAAGAACAAAGTAACTCCTAGAGTACTGATGGAATAACCCCTATGATACTAACCAAGTAAGTAACCAAATACTGAACGAATAACCTTTACAGCTTGACAAATTAAAGTAAACCCTAAAATAACTGGCCACATTGCATGACCACCCACAAGAGTAAGACATTGTTCTTCGAGCTTCTGAGCACAGTAAAAACATCATATTTCAGTGGCTAGGTATTACGAGTAGGACTCTAGAATTAACACATGAACGATGAACAAGTGAGTAACACGGTCAAGTTTCATCGGTTCAAACTTTAAGATCGTGGTCGTGGCATACCCAAACTCTACTAACGTGGCGGTGACATTCATCAGAAGAAGGACAGGTGTCCTTTTATTTAACCAGAATATTCAGTTGAACATATCACCTTTTATAGGACGACCATACTATATCTCTAGTTAACCGTTTCATTTCCAAGTTTAGCAACATCTGAATTTGAAGCAACCGCATGCAAAAAATGGGACAAGGTGAAGAAGTTAAAACTACAAATGATCCTCAAGTTGAAATTCAGGTCTTCTATTTTATCTCTTGTCTCATCTTAATTCATCCATATGGACCATATGTTATTTTTGTTACGTATGTATTTTTTTTCTCCATTACATACTCGAGTGTAAGTTGACGTATATGTATGTGTCATATTCTAAGTTCGAGTAACATAATATTCTAAGTATTTGTTATAATCTACGGAGTATAATGTTAGTATTTGTTGATTGTCAATTTTTTCAGTATGTTACGTGGACAAAACTGTGAGATGTTGTGAATAATGTAATTTTAATTTGTTTGGGTAAGAAGGTTTATACTAGAATTGAAGGGAATGTACGGAAATTTCTATTAATACGAGTTTAGTGAGATTCGAACTCTAACCTTATATCTATAAGTCGGGGAGTTGGCCTCCTAGGCTCCTATAGTTCTATATTCTATCTCATAGGGAGTATTGGTAATTCTAGGACAAATGCATGTTGGATTGATACTACTTGGGTCTATTCTAGTATAATTGTCGCAGCAATGATGTGCATTATCCCTTTATTTATATGTTATTTATCTAATTTGAAGATGATTTATTTGTAAAAACATATAATTTGAACTTAAAACCAGAGTTCTTCCCCTACTACATTCACATTATTAGGAAAATATGATAAAACTGTAAGCTGAAATTGGTGCTATTGCATCCTCTAGAGTCTAAAATGCAGGATCTTTAGTGTTCCTACTTGGAATGTGAGAGTAGAATATGAAATTGAAATGTGATTTCGCGTTGCAGGAAAGAGGGGAGATATTTTTCTTCTACAGGCCCAAGGTAAACAGAGAAGAAGTTCATAGTGTTGATGATGTTCAAAGAATGTACATAGTTTTACGACCTGAATCCGGTGAACGGACAGTGGAGGAAAAACAAGCCCCTGATTCTGGCAAAGAAGGTACCAAGGCAGGGCTTAATCCTAGTTCGAGTCATCATGAGGATGAAGGTGAAAATGATGATGAGAATCGTCGATTTGAAAAGCATCCTGAAGGCGGGCATGGAAAAAAGGTGATTAGTCATATTAGCTGCATCCATAGGCAACAAATGTTATGTATGCTCTGTTATTTGGTACTACCTCCGTTACAGGTTATGTGTAACGATTTGACATAAAGCAGAGAGGGAAAATGTCTAATTGTTACACATAACCTGTAACGGAGGTCGTATTATAAATTTGTGAAACCTGGTATATGCTTCATATTGGACATGGTTATGTAGGAAGTTAACATAGAGAAACAACCACTTCTTCCATTTATTGTAACTGGACGAAAGAGTCTTCCTGATCCTGGTAAGAAGAGCAGGCCTTTTTGGGGATTTGTTGAATTGGTCACCACAAAGATTGATGATGTCAAGGATGCTCTTCGAGGAGGTATGCCAATCCTGTTTCTAATCTTGCTCCAACAATGTTGTTGACAAGAGTACGCTTTGGAATTCTTTTTTAATCTGATTTTTGGTACATTGTGATATGCAGGAGAATATGATACTGCTACAAGGGGACATCGGCACAACCCCAATGCAAGAGCCCTAGGAGAAGGTGTATACCGCATTCTAAGGCACAAGTACTCTGAAAGAAAGATGCACACTCATTTGGTATACAAGCTAGAACTACCTACTGAAGACAAGAATAATGAACCTCAAGAAGAGCTCAACATAGAGCGAGAAGGCTCTTTTATCATCCAGATAAAGAGTCCAGAACAAGGTGGCGCGAGATCTGAATTCCAAGGGGTTGGAAACAAACGCAAAGCTGTGTTTCCAGCACACTTACAAGGGCAGTTTGGGGGTAAGCGCTATGTGCCAGCTGATCCTCCTGATTTTCTGAACTATGAAGGGTGTGAGTTCCTCCTTCTATCAGCATCAGATAACATAGAGGAAGAACTGGGTTTGGAGCTTCACACCGAAACAGAAGTTCCAGACCCCAAGTGCTCAGATTTGGTCAAGACTTTTGGAGCAGATGTTACTCCAACCACTCCGCTTTTTGAAGGTGCTTGGTGTTGATGACTCTCAGGCATCTTGGTGTTTCTCTCTCTCGTATCATAAGACATGTAGTTAAAAGAAGCAACAAATGTAGAATAATAAATTAGGATGTCATCACAGATTTGCAACTGGTGTAAAGTTTATATGTATGCTCTACTGCTCTAGTTTATCAACGAGGTTTTGTCACTCACCATGTTGAGTGCAGCAGGATTATCAAGGAGAATCGGCAAGTGTTATGTGCTTTGTACTCTGTAATTGTGTGCAGCAGGATTATCAAGGAGAATTGGCAAGTGTTATGTGCTTTGTACTCGGTAATTGTTATCGCCTGATTAGATCTATTTCAAACGCAACGCTGTATTAATTTCCTATATTAATACCTTGGGTTGTTCATCACCACTCACCAGTAAGCTTTAAGTTATGACCAAATCAAAGTTCCAAGACTGTATAATGATCATAACCAAATTCCAAGACTGTATAACCAAATTCCAACAGCAATTCAAGTTTTTATTGATTTTTCGAGCTTTTTGAATGTTCAACAGCAACTGAACTAAGATAGAAACAAAGATTATTCGAGCTTTTATCGATTATTCGAGCTTTTTGATTTTTCGAATGCAACTGAACTAGTATAAAGTGAACCGAATAATTACAACACCAAAGTTCATCATTCTAGCAATTTCAACAGCAACAGAACAATTATAGCACCAATTTCATCAATCTACCGATTTTTCCAACCAACAAGAAGGAATTTTTCCAACCTAAATTTATCTAATTCGTCTAAAATCTAACCATCTTAATCAACAAAATTCATCATCTTGCTCAGAAATTTGCCATTACCCTAAATCTAACAATCGCAATCGCCAATATAAAATTCAACGACTAACAAATAAACATCAAAACACGTTAAAAAACACAAAAATCAGCAACAAATTACAGAGTTTCACCAAAAAAAAACTTCTAAAAACTCATCATAAATTTCTCAAAGTTTGAACAATCAATAGTTCAATACTCATAATAAGTAGCATTAATAACATCATAAAATCTCGATAAATCAAAATACAAAAGATTACATAATAAATTAAAAAGGAGAGAGAAGCTGAGAAAGAGTAGGCTTAGGCTCAGAGTTCATCCCAATATAGATAATCAAAGGAATTAATCCATAGTGAGTGACGACTTTAGCCTTCTTCAAGCTCCAATTAGTCCACTCTTGCAAACACTTCATGGTCTTGCAGGCTTCTTCCTCTGCTCGCGCTTTTCTTCCCTTTCCTTTTGGTATCGCCATTTTTCTCTCTCCTCAAGATCTGATCACCGATTTCTTCTCTTTTCCTTAAACCCTAGAATTCGTCTAACCCCTTGATTTTTTTTTTAATTTCTGAGGGTATTTAAATTTGGATTTTGGATATTTTTGGTGTTTTATGGGTTTGGGCTTTCCTCTTTTCTTAGGGTCGTTGATTTTGGGCCTTTTGGCCCAAATTACATTAAAACTTCTTCAGCCAAAAAATAATTTAATAAAAAAAAAACTGTAGTAAGTTAATAACTGCTCTTCGTATTTGGATATGTCATTAAACCTTTCTCTCCTCCATTAAAAGCAAAATGTATGTTTATTTGTTGTTAAAGTTATCAGTATGTTATTAGTATAGTCAATTCAGGTTTATTCTAAGGAGGATTAATTTGGTAGTTTAATTTATTAATCAAATCCTACTCTATGATGAGCGATTTTTAGATGAACGAAAAAAAATGTCATAGATGGGCCTAATGTGAGTTTTGATATAGAACAACAAATGGGAGCCTCTACAAGCAAAGTTCTTAATGATATTGGTGCTGTGATCGGTAACATTGTTGCGACTCCATTCAAATCAATCTTTGGTCGATCATGCCAGTAAGTTTTAATTTCTCTCATTTCTGGCAATTTTCTTGTTATAATCTCAACCGTTTCCATGTGAATTGGACTATATAATACACGAAATTATTTTATTTTAATGAATTTATGTTTTGTAGTCGATACCATAGCGTTAAACTCATACTCATGATTACATATACGTAGTAAATGGTTTTTTCATCGTTCGTTGATGCATAGTGTTTGAATTAAAAATTGTGACACGGTACAGTTTGATTTTACAGGGATGTATGTGATGGAAAATGGGACGTCGTTTGTTTTGTTGAGCACATTTGCATAGCTGACTTGGTCAAATTTCTGCTGGCTTGTTGTCTCTTGTACATATGTAAGACCCTTTTTACTCGACATTCTAGAGTACCAATAATGAATATTTGCACGTGAAATATAATAGTTTTGGTGTTAATTAATAGTTGCATATACTTATAATGTAAGTTTTAATTTGTTGTTAATTGCAGGCCTAGTTTTCTTGTACTTGTTATATAAGTTGGGGTTATGCCAATGTATAGCAAAATCACTATGCAAGATGTGTTGGGCTGCTTGTGAAACTTCATGGTTGACATTAGACTATGTTTGTTGTTTCTGTTGGCATAAGATCCGGTACACCAAACGAGTTTATCGTGGTAGACGACGTCGTTTAAGGCGACAACTAAGTAGGGATGTTGAGTTGGGCTACATTAGTACATTGTCTACTTCAGATGGTGATGAGAGGGGGGATTTTAATAACTATGGTTCAAGTGTTGGTCGAAAGAGAAAGTCGTGTAGAGAACAAGTAAGAAGGAGACGAACGAGCCGTTGCAAGAGTGTTAGGTTGAAGAGAGGAGGGCAAGTGTCTGTTCGTATGAAAGGATGCAAGTCACATAGGAGGAGGAGAAGAAGAAGAAGAAGGGATCAACTCAATGAAGTTCAGATGTCAAGTTTGAGAAAGAGTAGAAGAAGTAACTCAATGAAGTTTAAAAAGCAAAGGACAAGATGATCCTTGGATTTATTAATTATTTTCAAATGTTTTTGCAAAGACTTTGTAATGTGGGGGAGAATCTTGTCATATTATTGTTGTCATTGTAATTTGTGAATATTAATTGTAATTTGTGAATATTAAGTATGCAAGTATTTTTTACATACACTTCAATTATTAGGGATCCTACTTATTTGGAACGAGAATCGAACCTTTCTTATAGTGGTGGAAGGAGGTCCTCCAACCACTAAACCAACCTTGTTTCTCAATTGATGTTGCATTGTGTTAGTTGTAGGCCTATATATGGCCTATATATATAAATATGATCATACAGGTATATGTTGTGTACTTGTGTATAAGTGTAGATTTAGATTGCACATATATCTATTTATATCTTAAAATGAGAAAGCATGGCTCATAACCTCAAATATGGCCTTATGAATTGAAGTGTGTAGAATTTAGTTAAGAGCGCATAATTAGGAAATAATTTTGACACAACTAATGTGTGTCAAATTAATTTTCCATGCCTGTTGGTATGATAAACAATATATATTTTTGGTGTAGGTTTTGTTGTAAACCTAACATAAGGATCGATCCCAATTCTCAAATTTATACGGTTGACTTTGTCCAACTAAACTGAATAGTATCCAATAAGCAAAATGTGTAGGTTAATGCTAGTTGAACCAAATGTTTACACTTAAAATTAATTACCTTCTATTCTTCTAACACCTATCTAGAATGGCAATTAAACACAACAACTAAGAAGGGTAAGAACTAATCTCTACTACAATTCAATAGCTAAATTTTGTTGAAACCTGTAATATATAAAGTATGGCCCTTACCTTGCCTTTATATTCTATTAACAATTCCACAAAAGTTTTTTTCTTTTTTACGCGACCGTCAGAGATTGAATAATACTTATAATTATTTATTTATTTATTTATTTTTTAACTTACTATACAAGGATTGATAACTCATTATCAAATTTGGTCTTATATGATTAAAATTGTTCGATCCATAAGATCAACTTTATCATGCATTTCATGTTTTAATGTTTATGTTAATCATTATTCAACCTAGCTTTGTAACACTAAAACTTTGTACAACTAATAGTTAGAGCATTTGCTTTTCAGTGGGGACATCTTCTGTAATTGAACAAGTTTTTTTTTTTCCTTCATATATTTAGGTGACGATCTCATGTTTACCAACTCAGTCTTATGGAAGACTAATCCCATTATTTCAAACATTGTTATTGATCTCAATAATTTTGATAGTTGAGTAATTTTTGACAAGTATATTGTGAAACAAAAAAAAAAAAAAAAAAGTAATTATCTAATGCATTGCTTCATAAGTCATAACTCATAAACCATTAAATTACGCAAAGTCAAATGTCAACACTATTTTAAGATGAGTATTACTCCGTACAATACGGCAAAACGGGAAAAAATTCTACGTTTTTTTTAAGAGAAAAAAGACAAATTCTACGCTCACAGACTTATCATCAGACACCAAAAATTCTCCCTTTTCTCACTCTCATTTTCTCTCTCCTCCTTTCTCTCTCCTTCAGGAGTTGCACAAGTGACCCACAGAGAAGCCATTGATAATAGCTGCAAAAAGCTTCAACATTATCCTAAGATCTCATCTCACATTTCAATCTTCATCTTCTTGTAAGTTTTAATTTCACTTTTTTTTTGATCAATTTTGGATCTCTTTAGCATTTGACTGGTTTGATCATTGATCGATTCGCATTTATGAAATGTTTGGATTTTGATTTGTAATTTTGTTTGATTTTGTTCGTTGATTTGATTGTTTAAGATGATTTTGTTTTTTATTGCGGAATTTTTGGTGCTATAATCGAATTTCTAGGGCTTTGATGCTGATTGAAATTGTTGTGTTATGAGGTTTGATTTTTTTTTTTCCTTTTAATTCTCATTTGAATTAGTGTTCGTAATGTGCTAAATTTGTGAAGCGTAGTTCGTTTTTTCGGTTCGCAATGGATCCGAAAATAGTATGTGGAGAACGGTTTTTTTTAGAAATAATTCCATTAAAATGATTAATTATAATTGAAGGAAAGTTTTCCATGTAATTTCGGGGTAGAACATTTGATTTTTTTAGTGTGAATGACTATATATGAGGTATATAAGCTAATTTTTGTATATAAATTAAAATGTAGATTGTTTTTCTAAGAGAAAGAGCAATGCTCATATTGTTGTTAGTGTACTGGACTTATTAAATTTATTTGAGTGATTTATATGCACAGAGGTGTCGGTATACGAGAAAAAAAAAAGAGTGGAATTCTTGTTTGAAGTTAGAATACCTGCTTGTAAGTGAGAAGAAGCTGGACAGAAGGATTTGCTAAGGTTTCGTAAGCAGGTTGTTTTGGAGATTTGTATCTGAGAGAGGTGAAGTCCCTTGTAATCAGACTCTCTGGGAGGAGCTCAGGGGTGTGATAAACAGCG